TTCTTACTAGCATCGTCCAACCCACATCTTCCTCCAAAGGGTAATGAACCTCTCTCTCCTTTGACTTTTCCTCTTCAGCTAAAAAAATCATCACTGATGGATGAAACCTACTATGCCCATCTGCTTCAGCACTACAAAACATCCTATGATCTTCCCAACCTTGTCAGTTACCAATATGCCACGCTCACAAGCTCCTTTGTTGACAATGAAATCACAAAGTTGAAGTTCATTGACTTACTTGGTCAACAGTACCGTGGTAAAAACGGTTCAGCTAGTTGTGGTTCTCTTGTCCACGTAATGTTTGTTGGTAGTGACGGTAGAAATACCCTAGCCTATGCTGGACAAATACAGTATCTCTTCACACACTCCTTTACACACCCTTCTAACAGCAATCTCCACATGACTCGCATGGTTCATGATTATCAACATGTATTCGCATATATCAAGTGGTTTAATACTTCCTCTGATAGATCGCGTGAGGATGATGGTCTTGAGTTTTGTCTCTGTTGTGAATGAGTATTGATTACTGCTGAATCTGAGAGTAAGACTGAAGGATAAAATAATATCCTCAGCTATTCCAGTCAAACGGATCTCCCTTTATGATATTATCTAATACACAGATCATCATACACATAATTGATTATTTATTATTATCACCATGACATGGGATATACAAATACATATACATTATATATATGGCATCATTATATTTCATCTACATATTTCTTTTATTATACAAATACTTAATTGAGAGACTACAACTACAACTATCTAATATTATGAAACATTACCCGAGTATCTGGGTCGGAATACTAAAATATTACCAATAGCATAAATGCTCTTCTTTACCAAAACTCTTGGACTGATCTGACTGGAGAAGTATCATATCAATTGGTCTTTTCGGATCTTTCCAGAAGAACAATACTCCTGGAAGATGACTCATCGTGATAAAGATTACTTAAGCACACACTGAATTACAAATTAGAAAAACATATAAATATCAGTAGATAGTTCCGTGTAGAAAGACAATCGAAATTTTATCATTCTTTACTTTTCTTTTGAAATAAACAACCTACACAAGTTCTCATGAATTCTTTCGTCTATATTATATTTTGCTTTACTTTCTCCCCACAACATTTTTTTTCGTGAACTACAATGAACTCTCTTGCTGACTTGTTTCCCGCTGGTTTGACCCCTGTTCCTGAGGAGGCTACCTTGTCCCCCATGTCTGCGGATGAATTATTCTCTGACTTGAGTGAGCCCGTCCTCTTTCCGGATGCTGCCCCTGGTTTTGGTTCCGTTTCTGGTTCTGGTTCCCCTCCCGTTGGTAGAGAAGTAACAACTGCTTCCTCCTGTGTGGCCGTTCTCAAGGCTGAATTGGGCAACCACATCGAGGCCTTCAGCGCTGCTCATGTAGCAAACAATGAGCAAGCAGCTGATGATGCACTCCGCAGGATCGAGCGCACAAGATTGGCAATCACTAGCCTTGAAAAGTGCAGCGAGATGCTTGCCTCTCCTGGTACAAACACAGAGAGAGCTGGCCGTGAAGGAGGGTTGACTCTCAACAGAAGAGATCTTCCCAAATTCCAATTGGCCTCCAGTATTATTAAGCCCTTCCCAAATGAAGAGGTTTTTGAATCAGTTGGACATTTCCTACGTACCTTCAAGAATGTGATCGAGTCTTCTTCCTTGGACATCGAGAGAGTTTGGAAGAAATTCCTCCCACTTTGCCTGCCTCACACTGATGACGGATGGGTAGAGATGGATCTTAAGAAGTGTATTGATTGGAAGGCGGCGAAATCATGCTTCAACAAAAGACATGGTTCCAGCTTGGTGTCTCGGCGATTCACAGACCAGGTCTTTACAATGATGATGAAGAACACTGAGTCCATCGGTGATTACTCGAAGAAGTTCCTCCGTGCGGTTTACAATGCTGGTTTACCCAAAGACGATGCTCGCATCGCTGATCGCTTCCTTGCCTCGCTGACCTTATCAGTGCAAACACTGGTAAGAGTTACCATGGCCCGCTCTGGTCCCAATGGGGAGTCCAAGCGTGATTGGACTGTAGAGCAGATCACGCAGATCGGCAGAGACATCCTTGGGGATGACAACAGGCTCTATGCTGAGGCGACCCGATTGATTCCTGGTTCCCGTGGGCAACCTGAGAAGAATAACGAGGAACATCCCAGAAAGAAGCTTCACCACTCCAACAAGATAACCAAGCATGAGAAGACATTTTTCTGCTCGCACCATGGAAAAAACCCAACCCATGAGTCCAGCAAGTGTTTTACCTTGATCAACCACAAGAACAAAGCCAGTAGTTCCAACAGTCGCAATCCTTGCAGACGTTGTGGTGAAAACTACTACCATGGTCATGTCTGCAAAAGCAAGAACAATGAGCCAATTCTCATGGTATCCCAGTCTCCCGCAAAGGATAAGTCTGAGCAGACGCTCAAGACGATCCAGGACAGGATAGATGAAGACATGGAGGAAATATCATTTGAATGTAAGTACCTACTTGACAGAATTGAGAGAAGAATTAAAGCTAATGATGCGTTTAATCTTGTAACTCCAATCATAATAGAGAACCAGAAGTTAATCGGGATGATCGATACAGGCAGTTCCCGCACGTTTATAAATTTGAAATGTTTAAATAACAATTTACAAATAACAAAAATAAATTCTTCAATTGGTTCCTTTAATTTTCTGTCTAAGAATAGTAGTACAAAGAGATTAGGAAAAACTGATCCTTTAAATTTTAAATATATAAATGGCATTACCTTTAAGCATGCACCAGAGGTGTTAGAGTTTAATACGGGTTTTAATTTTGACATCCTCCTTGGAAGAGATATTTTGGCAAAGATGAATATTGGATTAATTAATGTTGCATATGATATTGAAGGAGAATATGTCCATTCAGATAATGCAAAAGACTATGCCGCCATTTATGAAAATCTAAATATTGATAAAGAGAAAAAGTTTGAATCTGATAATTCGCCAGCTGGCACAGCACAGCAACGAGCAGAATTTATGAGCTCTATTAAAGCATCACTGGAGGAAAATAAGAATATTCCCGTTGAGTCATATTGTCCTTTATCAGAATCTATTATTCGTTTACCTACTAAGGAAGGTGCGACGGCTTACAGACGGCAGTATCCTATACCGCACACTCTAAGACCAACACTTGACAAGCAAGTAAAAGAATGGCTTGAGACAGGAACTATTGTCAAGTCCAAGACCAACACTTCCTTCAACAGTCCAATGTTGCTTGTTCCAAAGAGAAACAAAGCTGGTGAGATTGTCAGTCATAGAGTGTGTTTAGATGTGCGATTGTTAAATCAGATCCTACCTCCCACATTCAATTATCCAATTCCAAAAATTCAAACAATATTTCAAAACTTAAGTGGAAAGAAATTCTTTACCACACTCGACTTATCCAATGCGTATCATCTTTTCAAAGTTGCACCTGAGGATGTATACAAAACTGACATTCACTCACTTAGATGGGCAACAGTATAGCTTTATTAAAGGCTGTTTTGGCTTGAAGATGCTTACTTCACAATTTCAACATGTCATGGCTACTTTATTTGATAAGATTGACTGTGTACAGAATTTTGTTGATGATTGTATTGTTGCCAGTGAAACATTTGAACAGCATGTCAAAGACGTAAAATTAGTTATTGAAAAATTGTCATCCGCGAAGTTGATTCTGAACTCGGAAAAGTGTGTCTGGTTTCAACATTCAGTGAGATTGCTTGGTTTTGTTGTCAATGAGACAGGCACCAAGGTTGATAAGCGAAAGTTGACAAATGTTGACAAATGGCCTATTCCTACAACTGCGAAACAGATTCAGCAATTCATGGGTTTGATCAATTACTTCAGAGATTATATTCCTATGATTTCGAAGGTAGCTGAGCCTATTTCACGTTTGAGTCATGCCAAGAATGTGTCTGATCAATGGACAGATGAGCAGACGAAAAGCTTTAAATCACTAAAAGACATATTGCACCAAGATTTAATTCTTCATTACGCAGATATGTCACGTGAAATGTATGTGGCCACAGATGCATCCCTTTATGGAGCAGCTTGCTTATTGTTTCAGCGAGATGAACAAGGGCGTGATAAATATATCAGCTTTGTATCAACTTCCTTAAGCCCATCGCAGCAACGATGGAGCACAACTAAAAGAGAATTATATGCAGTCGTTTTGGCGCTTGAAAAATTCTGTCCATTTCTGTGGGGCCGACAGTTCATAATTTTTACTGATCATCGAGCACTCATTTATCTCCACACTCAAAAAATCGCTAATCCGATGATGATTGGCTGGATTGAGACACTCCTTGACTTTGATTTTAAAGTGGTCCATATTCCTGGTTTGTTGAATAAACTACCTGATTTGCTAAGCCGCTTGTATCCTCCAGAGGATAGTGACAAGCTGGTGGAGGATGATGGATTGAGAAAAATCAGAACAAATGACTTTCAAGCTAAAAACAGAGTTATTGTTCAAAAGAAAAAATATAGTAAAGACAGAGTGCTAAATGTACTTGCAACGCAACTCGTCAAAAATGCTTCAGAGTCGTCCGACTATATGTCACCTCCTGAAGAAAAGCGTAATGGCTTACTAAAAGAAGCACATTCATTTGGTCACTTTGGAAGTCAAGCTATAGTGAATGATCTTCATTCACAAGGCTTACACTGGACTAATATATATGAAGAGGCTAAAGAGATTATTCGTTCTTGCCCTGAATGTCAGAAGCACAATATTAGCAAGAAAGGCTATCACCCATTGACTAATGTTGTAGCATTCCGACCATTTGATCATATTGCAATTGACTTATGCGGTGAATTCCCTGTATCAGAGGATGGACACACGTACATGTTAGTTCTGGTTGATGTATGCTCCAAGTACATTATCTTGAGACCACTGCCAAACAAGAACTCAACAACAATAGCTAAAGCATTGATAAAGATTTTTGGAGATTATGGTTTTCCCAAAGTAATGCAAAGTGACAATGGTCTGGAATTTAGAAACTCTTTAATGTCAAGCCTATCTAAAGAGCTTGGGATTGATCGAAGATATTCGACAGCATATCACCCACAAGGAAATGGTATTGCCGAAGCCAGTGTAAAAATTGCAGAGAATACTGTACGTAAAATGATGAGAGCGAACAGCAATGACTGGTGTCACTATCTACCGATTGTTCAGCTGTGTATCAATAGATATATTCCTCAAAAAACACTAAGTGCGCCGTTTTCATTAATGTATGCTCGCAGAGTCAATGTGCCTGATGAGTATGGTGACAAAGATAAATACTCTCTTCCAAAAGCCACAGTTACAATTGATGAGCTAGAGAAGCAGATTGATCATATGGAAAATATTATATTCCCTGCCATTAACGAACATGTGTTAAGGATTAATGAGGAATTAAAAAAGAAATATGATCACAAAAATATCCTAATCGACATCCCCAAAGGAACACACGTTATGGTCAGATTACCACATCGATCAAATAAATTGGCACCTATTTATGAAGGTCCATATACAGTGGTTCGAAAGAATAAAGGAGGATCGTATGAGTTAAAGGATGAGCAAGGTGAATTGTTACACCGAAATTATACACCCTCAGAACTCAAGATGGTCACCATCGATGAATCAACAATTGAGAATGAGCTCTACGAAGTTGAAGACATTCGAGATCATCGTGGTACTGCTGGTCAACGAGAATATTTGGTCAAATGGGCTGGCTATGGCAAACGCGCTAATACATGGCAAAAGGCTGAAGACTTTACCGATTTCACAATTGTACAAAAATATTGGAAGAAAGTTAGAGAGTTGGAACGTTTAGAGAATGAGAGAGCTGAAGACTTGATTAACAAAAGTGCATCCTCAAAAAAGAAAATAGTTCACACTTCAAGACTAAATGGTAAAAGTAACAATAACGATGAGCACAAGAAAAGAACACTTCCTACCACTTTGAGTAGAGAAGAAAGATTACACAAAAGAAGAGCAACAAAAAATTAAAATAACAAAAAATGAACACGTAATCTACAAAGCTGAGTTTACAGTGTAGATCTCCATAAAGTACAAAAATTATGTGCATGATTGACTATAATAAAATAAGCAATTGGCCAGACAATGAAATAGTAAATGAAATGTTTTATTGCCGAATCAACAAAAGGTATTGTTGAATCTGGTGGAGGATAATGTTGTGAATGAGTATTGATTACTGCTGAATCTGAGAGTAAGACTGAAGGATAAAATAATATCCTCAGCTATTCCAGTCAAACGGATCTCCCTTTATGATATTATCTAATACACAGATCATCATACACATAATTGATTATTTATTATTATCACCATGACATGGGATATACAAATACATATACATTATATATATGGCATCATTATATTTCATCTACATATTTCTTTTATTATACAAATACTTAATTGAGAGACTACAACTACAACTATCTAATATTATGAAACATTACCCGAGTATCTGGGTCGGAATACTAAAATATTACCAATAGCATAAATGCTCTTCTTTACCAAAACTCTTGGACTGATCTGACTGGAGAAGTATCATATCAATTGGTCTTTTCGGATCTTTCCAGAAGAACAATACTCCTGGAAGATGACTCATCGTGATAAAGATTACTTAAGCACACACTGAATTACAAATTAGAAAAACATATAAATATCAGTAGATAGTTCCGTGTAGAAAGACAATCGAAATTTTATCATTCTTTACTTTTCTTTTAAAATAAACAACCTACACAAGTTCTCACGAATTCTTTCGTCTATATTATATTTTGCTTTATTTTCTCCCCACAACAGTCTCCCCACCTTCTCCCCCAATAGTCACCATTGCATTGTACCTGTGCACCGCATCTTTTTAGAGATTGCTACAGTCAGGATTACTACAAGTAGAAATGTTAGTAAGATGTTAGTAATTGCTTTGCCAAAAAGCTTTATGCTCAAAATAAAAAAAAACCCCCACTTGAATTTCCTTTTCTTATACAAAAAAAAAACAGAACAAATTCCCTATATATATTAATAGTATTGTGTATGTAAAAAGTAATACGTAGATAAAAAGAGAGAAACATTTTTTTTTATTTAGAGCCCATCTCTAAGAGCCCACCGAGAAAAATTGGGGCTAATGTTATCCGGGACTGCTGAGTTGGACACACTAGTAGTGATCCTATGGATCCTTTGATTAGCACTTGACCCCATGGCCTGGACAGCATAAGTGTCAACAAGTGCAATGAAACGGTTGCACTGAAATATATTTGTTAATAATTCACTCAATATACTGGTTTTATCCATTCAATTGGCGCCCATTTCCATCTAATTAGCATCCGTTTCCATCTAATTAGAACCCATTGACATCTGATTGGCTTCCATAGAAATTGAATTTGCGTCCATTGCCAACTGAATTTGCTCCCATTGCCATCTGAATTTGCTCCCCCCCTTTTACTATTGGCGGAAGGGTACATGGCACTCAATTTTTTTATCCTTGCGCCTTACAATTTTTTTTATATAACCGTAGTATTTTTTTTTGTAAACGTCGTACTTTTTTTTGTAAACGTCGTACTTTTTTTTTGTAAACGTCGTATTTTTTTTTGTAAACGTCGAATTTTTTTTATATAACCGTAGTATTTTTTTTGTAAACGTTGTATTTTTTTATATAACTGCCATATTTTTTTATATAAGTGCCAAACGCCTAATGTAATAGCACTTCAATATATGTAGATCTTTCTACAAAGATACATCATAGAAAATATCTATAGAGAGAACTAACAGAATATGCAAACTTTTCTCCAGATTACTTTGTTAAAGTTAAATATCTTACTGCAGTTATAAGATAATAAAGCAAGTATCTCATTATAATAATTATGTTAAAATTGAAAATGCAATGATATTATTTGTATTCATTCTTTATTGCAGAGTAAGTTTCGAATAAAAGATTCATTTTTTTGTCACTTGTAGCCTCCTTGTTGTTTTTAATGAAAAAAACAACTGGAGACTTTCTCTACTTCAAAATATAGCCACCAGCAGTTGTTTGTTTCATATTTACTATCTTGCTGGCTTTTTTGATAGTTAATCCCCTTATGAAGTAGAGATAAAGAAGCTTTTTTATATCTTTATCCGTAGGCTTTTGATATTGCCCTCTACTTTTTTTGGGGGTTTCGTCTGTTGTTGACAGGGCAGAACTTTTTGGATCTTCTGGCATTTCAGGCTCTTCAAGCTCTTCAAGCTCTTCCATGATTTTTTCAAAGGCACTGTTATATTCTTCAAGTTTTTCGTGTAACATTGTAGGGTTTTCTGATAATAAAAGGTGAAAAAATAAAGAAATAGGAAGATATGTTAAAGTGACATATTTTATATAAATATAGTTATATCTAGCACATAGCAGTTATAATTAAATAGTAATTACTTAAGATGCAAGATAAAAATCAGAACACAAGTTGAAGCAGCAAGAATAGATGTAAAGAAGATTGAGTTATTGTTAAATAGTATTAGTCATTATATTTTCAGCTTTTTATATCAAAAAATAATATGCCAAGGTCTACTAAATAAAGTAGTACAAATTGAACTCAAGGAGATAAAAAATAAATAGGACAATATATTATCCGCAGCCATAAATTTATTATAAACATTCTTTTTTAAAAGAGATATCATAATTCTCTCTCTTTCCATTTGGTGTTTATATACCAAAACTGTTTATTTCTCTTCTTAAATCAGCAATAAATCTCATTCTCATGCTCACTTCAACAACTAAATATTACTCTGACAATGAAAACACTGCCTAAAGCTCTACACCTCATGGATTTTTTTATTATTTCCAGATCACATTATGTTTCTGTATGTAAATAAAGCCTATACCTCGGAGTCATTGATATTAATCTCTAAATAATCTATAGTATTTTGAACAAAAGCTATAAATCTGAAAAGAAAACGTGACGATTCAACCCTCCACCTACAAAGAAACTACAAGATCAAACATCTACCTGTACAATAGGAACCAGTCTACACATATTCATAATGCTTTTAAGTGCATTTCACCGACTATACTTTTTCGAAATCCAACAGTAGAATTCACTCTACCGACCACACAAAAACTTGCCAATTTTTATCTCAAATATCCAGTAATCTGATTGACTACCACAGCAATTGTATTTCTTATGAACCTGGTCCTATACAAGCATCTAATACCATTACAAAAAAGAATCCAAAAATGCTATATTTATTCAGCACCTGCTCCAACCATTTTACAATGTCAGAATCCTGATCTTCTTAATATCAAACTCAACAACTCTTTGTAATCTGCACTCAAAACAAGTAAATGTCCAACAATCTGTTAAACAACTGAAAGCGGTCCAAGAATTATGCTTTGCTCACAATACTATCCAATCTCAATTTTGGAAACCCTCATGATACAATATACCAAAAAAAACCAAATATTACACACACAAAAACAGTAACAAAAAATAGCACAAGCTCATGACAAAAAAAAGAAATAAAAAAAGAGATGAAAAAAAAAAGAGATGAAAAAATAAAAAAAATAAAAAAAAGAAATAAAAAAAAAATAAAAAATAAAAAAAAAGAAATAAAAAATAAAAAAAAAGAAATAAAAAAAAAAAATAAAAAATAAAAAAAAAGAAATAAAAAAAAAAAAAATAAAAAAAAAATAAAAAAAAGAAATAAAAAAAAAAAAAAAGAAATAAAAAAAAAAGAAATAAAAAAAAGAAATAAAAAAAAAAGAAATAAAAAAAAAGAGAAATAAAAAAAAGAAAAATGTAATAGCAATTTTAAAAATAATTCTCCAAATAGTATAACTAGCATTTTTATTCATAAATTTTTATAATATACATAACCATTTTTTCGCAAATAATTTCTGAAAAACTGAAAGTCTCAATAACTGAAAATAAAATAATATCTTACTGCAGAAATTTCTGAAAAACTGAAAAACTGAAAAACTGAAAGTCTCAATAACTGAAAAAATGAAAGTCTCAATAACTGAAAAAATGAAAGTCTCAATAACTGAAAAACTGAAAATCTTAATAACTGAAAATAAAATGATATCTAACCACAGAAATTTCTGAAAAACTGAAAATCTCAATAACTGAATTTCGAGCTTTTTCTTGGCTCTATACAAAAAAAAACTTTTTTGTTTTTTTTTTTTTTATTTTTTTTTTTTTTTTTTTTGGTTGGGCAAACCCATGAGAAGAAATCCCACCCCTTCCTTTGAGACAGAGGACAGAACACCATAAAGGCTCTGGTAGCACTGTAAATCGGCTAATAAAATAAATGTTCTTAAAAGTGTGAAGAAGCTTAATATGTAAACATTCATTATTCTTCAACACATTCTTTATCCAAATATATTAAGACAACAGGACAAGACTATACCTTGGTAGAAACGTTTAAGTTATTAAAATATATTTTTTTTTGGTATATATACCCCAGTGTCTTAATAAAAGTTTCTCAGTTATCTTTCTTCCTCGATTTTAACACCCTTTTTATTTTCAAAAAAAAATGCCTACTTCCAACAACTCCCTCGAATTTGTTATGGACAAGCACTGTGAAATGGTCAGTCACAGTGGTTCTGCAGACCAAACCCAGTTTTCTGGAATTGCTTTCGACCCCTTGTGCGATTTCAACCAAGAGATTGTCGACGAAATGCATGGAGAAGTTGTACTCCGATCTGTGACAGATGTCTTTGTCAACCATGCCAATATGGAATGGACCCGTACCTCGGCCGGAAACCCAGCAGTCACAAACCTCCTCAGTCTCAAAAGTTTCCTGCCAACCGAAGTCAACGAGGCCACAACCAAGACAATTGTTGCACAGAAGCCGAAGACGAATCTGCCGGAGAAGGTCGATCCTGATTCTGTTCCCACTGCAGAAAGCATAGGTCGAGGTTCGTACCAAAAGTACAACCAAAACCAGGTGAACAAGCTCTTCTCCTTGGTTTTCTTGGAAAACCAGACTGCTGCTGCCGCTGCCAGGGAAACGGGGATCAATGTCCGGACTGCCCAGAACTATGTCAGGCTGGCCAGAGAGAAGATCCAGGCCGATTTTGATGCTGCCACAGTGGAGACTGATGAGTCCAATGGGCTGGAGACGATGGAGGTTAAGGAGGTTTCTGCGCCTAAAGAACGAAAACATGGCAACCAAAAGTTGTTCCAGGCGCACTCTGCTTTTTTTTTGAAGTTTTTCAAAAATAAACCAGATGCTACCTTGGAACAAGCAAGGATTGCTGTCATGGAAGAGTTCTCTGGGCTGCAGATTACCAAATCAGCAATCCAGAAGCACTTGGTGAAGAAGTGTGCCCTGACGATGAAGAAGTTGGAGAAGCTGCCTGAGAAGAGAGACGACGTCAACATAATTGAGATGAGACGAGACCGCATTTTGGAGTGGCAACAACTTGTGGATTTCAACTATCTGTCGAACTGTGTGTTCATCGATGAAGCAGGCTTCAACATGCACATCAAGAGAACTTTTGGCTGTTCCGTCAGTGGCACCCCGGCTAAGACAACTGTCCCGACGCAGAGAGGTGTGTCCATCACCATCCTTGGTGCAATGTGCGAGAGAGGGATTGTCAGCCTCTCGTTGAAGAAACCCACTGCAGTCGCAACCAAGAAGAAGAGAAAGTTGGACATCTACACCAACCACTGCAAAAAAATGCCCGATTCCCATATGTGATGGGATGTAAAATTTGGTGGACAGAAAACCCAAATTTGTAGTGCAGGATTTTTTTTTGTAGAATAAGTATTGCAATTTTTTTAAAACGATTCTATTGGTCATAGAGCACCGAGTAGCATAAAAAAATACAATAATAAACTTAAATTGAATGAAATAAACTGTACCTGAATATATATTTATCTTCTTTACTGTTTAAAAAATAATATTATTTTAATAATTATTAAGCAATGGCACCAACCTGTAAATCAAACAAAACAAAAGAATGCAAATGTTCTGTTTGCAAGACAAGATTTGGAGGATCAGATACAGTGTCTGTACAGACATTTAATTTTCATAAAAGAAGAGATGATGCTGGAATGAACATCTTTCGTAATAGATGTAGGGAATTTTCTTTTATGTTTTAATTATATTTATATTTATATTTTCGATTTAATAACATATGTAATGTAGTGATTATTAAGAGATCAGTCGAAACTACTGTAAGCTATGTTCCTGAAGTTATCAACAATGATGAACAGAACTCGGTGGCCATAGACAATGATTATGATATGGATTATGACTTTGATGGTAAAAATATATATTTTTATTTTTATTTTTATTTGCTCTAACTTCTTTTATGGTTCCGGTAGAAATGGACACCAGTATAGAAGTAGACATGGAGACACAAGAGCCTATTCGAGTCTTACCTCTCTCAGAATCCGATGCTGTCTTTGGTTATGAGAATGAAGAGTTTAACTCTGATCTTGATTCTGATGGTTGCGAAGACGATTCCAGTGAGGATGACATGCTTGATAGTGAAGGTTTGCACACTTTCATAATGGATATTGGGTTCTGCTGTATAAAATAATAGAAATTAATTTTTTTTAAAAAAGACAACTTTCCTGAATTCAACTCAGAATTGAGTTTCATCCATCGTTTTATCGTACAGGTCCTTGCACTATTTGTATCCTTGTACGTCGTCGATGAAGGCGCCATTCTTCTCATTGCCATCATGAACAAAATACTCGAGCTTTTCAGAGATCCATTCCGTCTCCCAGTTAGCATCCCTGGTCTCAAAAGCATGGCAGGATTCAATACCTTTACAGACGGTATAAAGAAATATGTTTCTTGTAGCGAATGTCACAGCATATATGAGAACAATGAATCAACACCCTGCTTCTGTATCTTTGATAAATTTGGGAATAACTCAATGTGCGGTAATAGTTTGTTCAAGTCGGGAAATCAGTCGTCCATTCCAAAAAGAACATATGTGTATCACTCTGTTCAGAATTCGATCAAAGCTCTCTTTTCTCGGCCTGATTTTGAAACCCAAATCGACTCGTGGAACCGTAGTCCGAAGGCTGAGAATACTATGTTCGATGTGTATGATGGCTTGATGTGAAAGGATTTGAAAGACACCAATGGAATTCCCTTTGTTCATGGCAACCGCTCACTGATGTTGACCTTAAACATTGACTGGTTCCAGCCATTCGACGGTGTGACATATTCATGTGGTGCAATTTACCTGGCTGTAAACAATCTTCCTTGAAGTGTAAGATTCAAGAAAGAAAATGTCATTCTCGTTGGGTTAATGCCAGGTCCGAAAGAAGCAAAAACATCCGAGATAAATTCGTACCTCAGACCTCTGGTTGACGAATTAGAAAAGTTGTACAAGGGAGTCAGAGTCCAGACATATCAATGCCCAAATGGTACCACCATCCACGCTGCTCTGTTTATGGTTGCCTGTGACATCCCTGCTGCCCGAAAAGTGTGTGGATTCATGTCCCATATCAGTACAAACGCATGCCACAAATGTAATCGCCAATTCTCCCAATTAGCTGGAACGAGCTCTGTCAATTATTCTGGATTTGATTTCTCAAAGTGGCTCCTTCGCACTAAGAATGATAATTGTAAGAATGCTGAGGTCTGGAGGAATGCAACCACTGAAGCTGAGAGACATCGTCTTGAAGTTGAAAATGGTGTTTGCTGGTCCGAACTGCATCGTCTCCAGTACTTTGACGTTGTCCGCTGCATGATCATTGATCCAATGCACAATCTCTTCTTAGGCACAGCCAAGAGGATAATGGAGAAATGGGTTGCAGATGGTCTAATTGACAATAAAAAACTCGTTGCCATGCAGAAAATCGTTGAAAACATGACATTGCTGCCTGATTACACCATGCTAAGATCAAAGATTTCAAAGGGATTTCCCTTTATGAAGGCAGACGAGTGGAAATCGTGGTGTCTGGTATACTCTCCAGTGGTTCTACAAGGCGTACTACCAAAGCAAAAGTTTGAGAATTGGATGTTTTTTGTGAATGCCTGCCGTTTCCTTACCAAGCCAAATGTTTCCAAAGATGATGTACAGTCAGCACACATAGCACTTGAGAAGTTCGGTAAAGGTTGTGAAAGGCTGTATAGCAAGGATCTGTTATCTCCAAACATGCATCTCCATCTTCATCTTCGCGACACAATCAAGGACTTTGGGCCTGTTTATGGGTACTGGCTCTTTAGTTTCGAGCGATACAACAGCGTCCTAAAGAATATCAATACCAACAGAAGGAGCGGCTTTGAAATGACATACATGAAAACATTCATTGAAGATACCCGTAAAGGCGATTTTGTTCACAATTTCTTGAAGACATCTGGTCCATTCAATTTCTCCGGCATCTTTGATAAATTGGTAACTGGTTATAGTCCTGCTGATTCTACAACTAGCACCGCCTTGTACAATTGGCTCTCTCTACCAGACTTTCTTGATGCTGCCAAAAATCCGAACTTGTCAATTCGTGGTAACAAGCCTTTGCCGCCATCAGCGCTGCCCTTGCAAAAAAAAGCGTATGAGATGATGCCAAGACAGGAGTATGATTGTTTGGTAGGATATTACCAAGCTGTTTACAACGATCCCACCATCTCCAGTTGCAAAGACGTGATTCAAGATACAGCTTTCGTCAATGACTGGATCGAAATGCTCAAATCCGTCAACCTCCTTGGACAGACATTCAAGGGAAGTAGAGGTACGAATGGAAGAGGATCATATATACAAGCAATGTTCATAGAAGGTCGAAATGGAGCAAAGTATGCGTATGTCGGAGAGATTCAGTACCTATTTGTTCATTCATTTAGTCCACTTGTTTCTACTCCACATCACAGAACACCCCAAAGTAGCCAACATACATTTGCTTATGTAAAATGGTACAAGGCTTCCAAGGAGACAAGTAGAAAAATTGCAGGCGTAGAAATATGGGATGTCGCGTTTTCTTTGCCTGACTTTCAAAGCATCTTGCCAGTGCACCGAATTCTCCTTCCTGTTGCAATTGTTGACCATACAACATTACGAAATATCAGCAAAAAACTTATTGTTCCTTTGCCTAGAAAACTTTACTTTTAAAATATATAATTATCCCTTCTTTTCTTTCTAATAATATTATTCAATTTTTTTAATATGACAGTGAAAAAAAAAGAGAGCAAATTGTTTGCTTTTATTGGTTTTGAATTGCCCAGACAGGAAGGATTGCGGTCAGATGACCGGGGACAGGAGTGACCGCAATGGTTTTTAGATATCTGGGCATTCTTTGCTTTGATTGTGGTGTTGCAATCTTCTTGTCATTCTCTGCTGCCAAGAAATCAATGAACTGAATAAGCCTATTCAGCTATGTATAATTAGTTAGTTTATTTCTGTACAGTCATCTTTTTATAGAAATATATTATAGTGTACACCTTTAAAAAAAATTACCTCAGCACTTCTCCGACTAGGACGAGCAACCTGCAAAACCCGCACACGGATTATAGGAGTGACGTCCTCATCTTCCAATTCACCATCAGACATCACACTCTTCTCAAGGAGATGCAAGTATGCCATCTCATCAGGGTTACCTGGCTTGTATCCCATCTTAGTGTCAATTGCTAGCCAATTGTTAATGTAGGTATCAACACGATGCAAGTGAATCTAGATATATTTTAAAATGATTAGAACAGAATGCAAAATATTTAATTTCTTTTTTTTGTTTGTAATTTTACCTCAATGCGACGGCTGTTGATACGATTATTGCGCCTTTTGGAAGACGCTTGCTCGGGGGTTGCGTTGACAGCACGAAAACATGTCTTGTAATTGTTTTTTATTTTCTGCACTATCATATCCTCCCAGAACCCAGCTGTGCGAGGCTGGGCAACGATATACTGTCGGAGGTAATTAATCACCTCAACATTGTCAGGATGATCGATCCTCTCATCCGTGTTCCATCGCCTGCGGCTTTCGTTTTCAGCAACAAGCTCAGGATCATTCGAACGGAAGTTTCTCGCCCACATTCTCCCATTGATGAGATTCTATATGATTATTATTATTATTATTTAGGTAGTGTGTTAAAGCATGAAGTCAGAAAAAATCATACCAGAACAATTGCACGCATTTCGCCTTTGGTGTGTCTATTTGTAGACACATTGGCGGCAGTTACTCCCTGAGTTACAGAAGATGCAACAAGAGCTTGCTGGGCAATGGCTTGGTTGTGAGCATCGACCAGAAAACGAATTCCAGTGTTGGCTTCGACAGTACGATCGTACATCATGTTGATGGCTGCCATAACCTGCGTTAGGGACTCGACAGTCATTCCAGGAGCCTCTGCCCCACTTGGACCAGCTGCAAGTGGCGATACTCTTGGAGCAATCTCACGTTGCTCAATCCGGCCGGCAGCAACACGGCTAAGTGTTCCTCGGGCATTCTGTTTGCCTTTGCGTCCTGATTTTCTAGTGGCATTGGAAGGCATGCTACAGATATTTACATATTTTTTAAAAAATAAATAAATATAAATAAATAAAGCATATATAGAAGAATATTATGAAATATTATTTTAATTATACAAACATACATGGTAAAGCACAGTAATAGTATGTGAGGTTTCTAATAAAATGTGAGGGAGGATATAATAATCTGGCAAATAGAAGTAGTATTTATATGTCCCAATACTTCTTGGGTGTACAGCAACAAAAGAAAAAATTATAGGGACACACGTTTTAAATTATAATAGACCCTAATAAATTCTGAGAACAGAATGAGCTTATTCACTACTCTTACAATTTGTTTTTTTATTTTTCTTTTTTTTTATTTTCTTTTTTTTTGTTCTCTCTCTTTCTCTTATACTGTTTACTTTTGCTTCTTTTTCTACACTATGGTAAATACTTAATATTTTCTTTTTACTTTATTTTACATGATTATTAACACTAAAAAACTTCTATCGTCTTTATTATGTAGGGCTTCCTGCACGAGTTAACATAACACACTGGCTTACAAAGGTGAATAAGAAAGCAAACAACTTTTATTGCGCGATGCTAATCATCAGCTTATTAATCTTTAGATGCAAAACGATGATGATGACAACCATCAAAAGCTAATGATGGAAATAAACATGGTAAGCTTTAATAGAATATCTTCTAATCACTTATATTAACGTTATACTTTCTTCATTATCATTTTGAATTTATTAGATTTTCTCTATCTCTCTTTTGCACGCACGCATTAAAAGGATGCCAAAGAATCACTTTTTCTGGTAAGCAAGACTTTATAATTATTATTCTCTCATACTAATCATATTTTTTTCCCTTTCTATTAGGAATACTTGGAGTACACCAACAATTATATAAATGCTATCCGTAGCAATATGATCCTCTATTTCCAAAGAATAAATCTGGTCTGTACACACATGTTTTGAAAATGACAAAATCGATTTTGGTCATCCCAAGATTCTGCCCCTTCCCTTAATATTCAAAGAGGTATTGCAGTATTCCCATTTATTTATCCTGAAAGGTAAGAGATATTATTAATGATCAAAGTAGAATCGCAGTACCCAAAATCAAGAACCCAAAACCGAGAATGCAAAACAAAGACCCAATGTCAAATGTCTGGATCAAATGCCCAGACCAAATGCCAACTATCCAAGGCCAATTATTAGAGAACCTATTTTGAGATTTTTTTAATAAAATAAAATAAAAACCCATTTGTAAACTATTTCCCGTGAACTATTTTTAAATAAAAGTACAAGAAGTATATTTTTTGATCAATCAAATAATGAAATTCAAATTGTAAATGGAGTACCCGTCCAATAAGATTGATACTTGCCAGAAGATAGTTGAGCTATCATCAGAAGATTGTTGAAATATACACCTTCTTGAATGAGTCCGAAACAAGAATAAATAGGCAATACATAAAATAAATGTAACGTTTTACTAGAAAAAAAAAACTCGGAATTCAATTAAGGTTTCGGATATAATGAGATATAACAGAACTCTATGACCACGCACAGACCCATTCTATCCATAGAATCTAGGTGTTTAATATTTAGTAGCTAGTTTTCCTATCATTCTGAGAATTGTTGTATAATATTCGGAATGTATTTCAAAAATCACACAGAATTTTACATCCTATCACGTATGGGAATCGGGCATTTTTTTGCAGTGAACGTTGAGGTGAACGGCCAAATTGGCACCAGAACCCAGCACTACCTCGACTTTCTTAGTCATACAATGGACGTTCTGGACAGCCAGGGTATGCAAGGACGTTATCTCATCATGGATAACGCTCCTATCCATAAGGCCGATGAGGTGAAAGACTTTATTTCTTCCCGTGGGTACAAGTGTGCATATCTTCCTGTGTATTCACCTTTCCTGAATCCAATTGAGGAAATGTGGTCCAAGATCAAGTTTGGTGTCCGCAGAGAAGAGATTACAGAGTCAGACGGGCTCATCTTAAGGATTACAGAATCAGCTAAGACTGTCACCCTTTCGGACTGTTTGGGTTGGATTAACCATGCCATTTCATTCTTTCCTCGCTGTTTGAACAGAGAGCGAAAGCTTTAAGTATGTTTTTTATGTCTATTTAAGCTCTTTACACTCTATGTCTTTTTTTATTTTATTTTTATTTTTTACTACTTTATGTCCCTCTTTTTCTTATTTATTTTTTACTACTTTATGTCCCTCTTTTTCTTATTTTTTTTTACTACTTTATATCCCTCTTTTTCTTATTTTTTTTTTACCACTTTATGTCCCTCTTTTTTTATTTATTTTACTGCTTTATGCTTTTCTTTTTTTATTACTTTGTATTTCATTATATCTTACTTCTTATTATGTGTTCTATTTCTCTATCAACTAATTATGCCTAATAAAAATATCCATGTTTTATGCCAAAAAAATACGACGTTTACAAAAAAAAATACTACGGTTATATAAAAAAAATTCGACGTTTACAAAAAAAAGTACGACGTTTACAAAAAAAAAGTACACTGTTTACAAAAAAAAATACTATGGTTATATAAAAAAAATTCGACGTTTACAAAAAAAAGTACGACGTTTACAAAAAAAAAGTACAACGTTTACAAAAAAAATACTACAGTTATATAAAAAAAATTGTAAGGCGTAAGGATAAAAAAATTGAGTGCCATGTACCCTTCCGCCAATAGTAAAAGGGGGGGAGCAAATTCAGATGGCAATGGGAGCAAATTCAGTTGGCAATGGACGCAAATTCAATTTCTATGGAAGCCAATCAGATGTCAATGGGTTCTAATTAGATGGAAACGGATGCTAATTAGATGGAAATGGGCGCCAATTGAATGGATAAAACCAGTAATAATACACCAATACAAAAGTATTACTCCAAATTAATCTACCTCATCGCTTCTCCAGCCTGGTTGTACAATATGAATGACATGTGTTGTGGTGGTTGAAGTTGAAGAAGTTTTTAAGAGGAAGAATTCAAGATTTGAAATTAGGAACGAAGATTCGTGAGAACTTGTGTAGGTTTTGTTTATTGAGAAAGATTTTGTATCAAAGTTTGACCAGGTTCCTACACTGAACTACTACTGCTATTTATATTGTTTTGGATTGGGAAAATTATATGACTGGGGTCAGGTAATCGATCCTATCTGAGCCTTAATCAGAGCAACGTGATCTTGGGATAATTAATGTATGATTAATTATATAAATGTGTGTAGTCCCAATGAAGTATTAACATCGAAAGTAAATGTGTTTATGAGTTATAATTATGCTTATAATAATCCACTGATGTATCCCATATTATGGTGATATCATCATATGAAATATAATCACTATCATGCATGCTAAACCTGTGTGTTAAATAATAAAGTAATCGGTAGACACCTTTGACTGGAATAGCTGAGGCCTTATATTATTTCCTTCAGACTTATTCTCAATTACAGCAGTAGTCAATACTCATTTACAACAACATGTTTTATGCCATCCTCATCCATTTTATTGGCAGACTCTCCATCTGACATTACTGCTTTTTGGAGAGTGTTGGCACAGTCTCTGAGCATTACAAGATCAATTGCCTCCTTATTGTCTTTGTATGCCAGTACACGGCGACACTCATTCTAGTAATAAGTTTTGTTAATTTGTTATTTTTAATTTTAATTTTCAACTATAAACTATATATATTAGCATAATACTCACATCATCTGCACGGGCTGCTCTTCGTGTAAGAGCGTTTGTTTCTGCTATCTTATCATCAGACATTCTCTCACGACAGGTTCTACTAGTGAAGTTGGTGTGCAACCTCTTTTGGAGGTCACTCCGTCTCATACTAGAGGAACCAAATCTGCGCTCAAGGTTAGAAAGAAGTCTCTCAGCTATCTCCCTGTTGGAAGATTTGTTGAAAGCAACATTTGTATCCCATCTGGGCTTGAGGTTGTTGGCCAGGATATTTTCTGGCGTTCTCAAGCTAAGCTTGGGTTTCCACATAAGGTTGTGAATATGAGCCTAATAAATAAATCATGAGAAAATGAATTGATAAAATATTTTATAATATGTTACTCACATAAACTGCATTAGATTCTTCACGGGTAGGCTCATGGTTAGAGATGACAACAGGTGCAGCAACAGTGAGTTCGGCTCTCACAGAAGCAGCAAGGGAAGTTCTGGCCAAACTATCTATGGCACTGATGGTGTTGGTGCTGGTGGTGGCAAGAACGCCAATTCTGTCATTCATGTTGGTCAGAGTTTGCTCAACATTGACGATCTGTCCTTTTATGGTAGGCATATCAGCTCTCACAGTAGAAAGTATTTCCATAAGCTGCTGATTAGTAATCTTAACAGGACGAAGGGCAATTGTGCGTTTACGTCTTGTGTTAGTCATTGTCTACAGAATATAATAAAATGAAAGGTTATAATGATTAGTTTCAGATTATATTATTATTATTGCTGTCATTCTACAATTAAATTTATGTAAATTTAATTAACAATAAATTGTATCAAGTTTACATACTTGAATTGTTAGAACAAGTGTATTGATTTGGGAGTATAAGTGTAGTAAGTAGCAAGAGAGTAAGAGCAAGGGAAAGTGTATTATATGAAAGGTATGATTATTATATATATTCAAAATATATTTGATATACAAATCTCTATTAATACTTTTTGTAATGACTGGGATGTAAATTGGTTTTCATATTGCTTTGGGACTTGATGAAATCATTTTAGTCTTTTGTTTTAAACATACTTTTTTCTTTTTTTTTAAGATTTTTTTTTTACTTTTTTTATTCGTTTTTTGTTATTTCTCTCTTTTCTTTCTCTTGTCAATTCTTGTTATATTTGCAAATTTTTCTGGTAAGATTGTTTTTGGTTCAAAATACTTCTTTACAAAGAACAAAAGAATTAATTTTTTTGTCTGTCATAGATATTCTCTCTGTTTCTCTCTCTTCACTCTTTACACTTGCAAGGTTTTATGGTAAGACACTTTCTTTGTTTTAAAATAAATATATACTTCTTTATGTATAACTAAAAAATAACAATATATTTTAATGTCATAGAAACTCACTCTTTGTCTCATTCTGATGCACCATCTTCACAACAGTCATCTGGATTAGCCAGAGTTAGTAAATATACTTTATGCTATCATTCCATACAATCATTCTGACTTTATTCTTTCTTTAATATAGGCCACATCGCCAAAAATACTCTCTACAATCAAACACGGATATTGACACGGTAGTATTCTATTTTATTTTAATCTATTTCTTTTTAATATTTATCTAACTGAATATAATTTCTATTATAGATGAACATCCCTCTTACGAACGTGCCATTCCTTAAGAACTTCCATCCCATGCTACCGTCATTGCCATGATAAGCCTTTTATTTACTTCTATATATACAATAATATTATTTATACTGTATATTAATGTATATTTTCTACTAGAGACAATATTACTGCTTTACAGATAATATCTTGGTCTGCAAAGAAATCCTTTGCCTTTGGTATGTAAATCAATTATTCTATCACACAATTCACAAAAATTAATTCTTTCCTATTGTTTTATAGTCAAAGAAATCATAATCCAGTGCTTTACTGTAAATGTTTTATTTCTTTGTCCATTTGTACTGGGTACTTCTAATGTAAGTATTAATTAGTACATAAAATTTGCATTATAAAACATGCATGCACTCCCATCACTAATGTTTTATCTATTCTCAAAGAGTACTGCTCTTACCCCTAAAAAAAGGTAATGAGCACCTCATTTTCTTCAGGTATTTGTTTTTTGTAAAAAAATTTTCATCCCAAATATAACAAGCTTGCTGAGCAAGAAGTAGCTGAGGATATAGAATAGCTTTATTAGATTTGAAACCTAGAAACATTCTATTCTTTCCAATAAAAATAAAAGCGTAAACCATTACCAACCTAATAAGAACAGGAAACCAAAGAAATAAAGAACATATTACTGGTCCATAATTTTAAAGACGTGTTTTTTTGCTGTTGATGATTGGAGGTTTTAAAGAACTGTCAGTGTAGGTGGTCAGTAAAGGCGGTCAGTAAAGATGAGGTATAGTACAGATAAACCATTAAAGCAATATACATGATGTAATCCGTCTTTGACCTTTCCTGTTCTGTGTCAAGAATACCAAGATAAATCCGTAGTTTTAAATATTTTTATTTATTTATTAAGCATAATGAGTATATCAAAAGTGCTACCAAACCTTACTTGCGGAACCCCCCATCTACATATACTGTAGTGTTTGTAAGTTTTGCACATATAGTGCTAGATGACCTTAAAACCTAGTGGAAAAAATATCAATTATAATATATCACATTATTCCAGTACCGTTTGCCCATATATACACGTCAGTATTTTTCTACTTTTTTCCAGTGCTTGTTGGAGCACTTGCCAGAATTGCCTGTATGCTTGATGTTAAAGCTAATCATTCTAAATAAAGAAACAAGAAAAAAAGCTTGCAAGAATTGATTTAGAGGCACTAAGTGATGATACGTGCAAGAAAGAGTTTAGACTTACTCTATCTGAAGTAATATACATGTTGATAAACAGCTTTTTTTGAAGTAACATTATTAATAGATAACTTTTGTATTTATGTTAGATCAAGGCAATATGTGATACAATGAACCTGCCTTTATATTTAGAATTTAAATGTAGCAAAAGTTACACTGTCCGTATTGAAGGAGAATTTGCTTTTGCTTTGGTTTTGTACTGGTATACTTTCCCACAAAAATACACTATGATGAAAAGTGTATGGGGCATTTCTGCCAAGACACTGGGTTTAATAGTGAACAAGTTTACAGAATTTTTGCTAAATAAATTCAAAAGTGGACTCGAGTTTGACACTCGCCAGTTTTCTTCTGAAAACTATAAGCAGTTTACAAAAGCTATACACAATAAAAGTAATATTATTATCATGTATTTCTTTTATTGCTCTACTTACTGATATAATGGGACTTTACTAATGACATAAACTGTTTTAGATAAGACCTTCCCAAATGTTGTTGGCTTTGTGGATGGCACTATGCAAAAAGTTTCCCGTCCAAGTTCTTATGAAGATTAGAAACTAGTTTATAACGGCTGGAAGGAAATTATTGGATTTTTAAAATGACCAGAGAATTATTTCATAGCACTAATTCTTTGCTTGATTGTATAATAACAACTTTTTTTATTGAGTAGCATATACATTGCATTAAGTATTGGGCTATTGAAATACCCGATGGTATTACTAGCAGCTTGGTTGGTCTGTTTATTGGATCCACTCATGATGCTAGAATATTTGACGAGTCAAAAACATTAGATCGTCTAATTGCGCATCTTGATCATATTTCCAAGAATGACAAAGTTCCATTTGAATATGTAGTATACGAAGATATGGCTTACCCTAAATCAGATAAAATCTACAGATCTTTTCCTTTAAGTGAAGCCAACAATGATAGTAAGATATTGAAAAAAAAGACATACATCTTGTAAAATTGTCTTTTGTTTAATAATTGTAATATAATATCGTTGCTCATATGCTTAGAGCTGAAAAAAAATCAACAAGTCAATGAGAAAAACCAGAATTCAAGTCAAGATGGAATTTAGAAAGGTGTTGCAGTTATTTAAATTCTGCAAGTACAACTATGGAATGAAGATATTGGCAAACACAAAGCCAGCAACAATATACATCCTGTTAACTCTTTTCAAGAACTTCCATACATGTATTAATAGCTCAGCAAGCTCTAAACTTTTTAAGCTTCAGCCACCAAATATCCATGATTATATCAAAGGTCTTATGCATGAACGCCAACCAGAAGACACTATTGATAGCTACAAAACTATTTTGAACAATGCATCAAATTTAGTAGAAACCATCACTGTTCCTGATAACCAATAAAACAATTCAAATACTTGTAAACTTGAAAATAGAGCAAATGTATTATCTATTTACTTGTTATTTTTATAAGATTCGACAATTGCTGACTCTATTTCTGCCTTTGTCGAAAGAGATTTAGCAAGAGCTGAATTAGATTTGGTGATGACCTTATTTGAATCAGCAATTTCCTGATTCGATTTAGCAAGAACTGCATTTGACCAACTTGTTTTCTTCAACTCCTCCAGTACAAGATTGTTGGTGTGCTGTTGTTGTTGAAGAATGTCCAACTGTTGCTTCAAAAGGCTCGCAGACTCGTTGGCCGTGCTTGCAGATTAGGGATTTTTTCTGCCATGAGAGACGTCAGAGTCAGAGTCAGAGTCAGAGTCAAAGCTGTCATCATCACTGCTTAAGTTTTCTCAGTCATATGTTGCAATGGCCATCATTTTTTTGTTATAGTCTTTTTTTTCTTTTTCTTTTATTTTGGTTGCTTTGTCTTTGGCAGCCTTCAACTCTTGATAATCCATAATCTATAAGGGAGAAATAACCAATTAGCTTAACTATTTTTTTTGCGTTTATGGCTGCTTAAACATATGGCTGTGTATATATTGTATATCAGTCTTTGGAGGTTTTCCGGAACGTGTGGGTTGGACACAGGCAACGATCTCTCATTGTCTTTGTTGACAACCAGATTCAACTTCTTGAACAGCAAATTCTTTTTTGCTCTGACACCCTTTGCTGTAAGTGGGTGCAGATAAGTGTGCTTAACACTGTTTACGTCGGCTGTAACCTTATCCTATGCTGAGGACTTGTCACCATGAGCATTGGCAAAAGGGCAACAATTGTAGATCAATTGCATTAGTGCAATCTCTCTAGCCATGTCCCACTGTTCTCGTTCACTAGTCGAGGCTTTTTCTTTGCCTTTTTGAGCCTTTCGTGAAGTCTCCTCTGCAGAACTGCTTGATGATACATCAATGTCTAAACCATTGGATCCTGATGCAGTTTCAGATTGCGCACTTGCTCTGGCTGTTAGTGGGTTATGCTGTTTGCTTCATTTTTATTGTACACATTTTTTAAGAAAAAAAGGGAAAAGACCAAAAAATATTTGAGTGAAAAGAGAAATAAAGTAGAAAGTGTGTATGTAAGTATATCTTATATATATACTTGAAATATTTTGCTTAATTATTGAAAATATATATAAAAACTGCGTATCTACTTGTTTGTGCTGGTTAAAATTGAATGCTATATGCATATGACAACTATAAAAAAATGTGGCAAATTGGGGTTATTTTGCTACAATTTTATGACAAAATGACCCCAATGTGCCACAATTTCCCTTTAATTTTCCGGCGTTTAAAATACCTCAAAATTTCCATATCCTGCTTTCCTTATTTGGGCGTTATGGCAATTTGAGTCGATTTTGCCACAACATAATACCCACTCTATTGTGTCATTCCTGATCTAGACTATCTTTCAATTCACTGTAAATGTAGCCAAATTGGTCAAGCTTTAATAATACAGGAGTAAGCAAATAAGAGAGAAGATAAAAAGACGATTTTTATTATTTTGATTTGGGTTATCTTATGTACTTTTTGAAATGATTATTCATTTTTGACTACACTCAAGTAGCGTTTAGTAATATACAAATTATTATAAATTGATTACAAATTTCTAAAATTACAAACTGATAAATAATCCTTCTAATTTCTGCTTCTTTTGTAAGAACAAGTCACTAGAACTGGTATCACCAAAATTAACTATGACAATTGTTTTTGTTGTTTTCAATCTGAGTTGTTCTTGTTGGACATTATTTTAATGAATCCATGAAATCTAAAGATACTTAACTGCAGTGCTTCTTTATATGCAGTAATATCTTCATGAGCATTAAACATAGTATAATGATTATTTCTTTAATTAAATATAAATAATAACTACTGTGCATAATGCGCAGCATTAGTTTAGAAAATTATATAAGACAATTCAATTCCTATCAATAAAAAGTATTTTTTATCCTCTATTTGATTTTACATATACTCCTTGATCCCCAGTGAGTTTGACTTTTTGACTTTGTTATAGTAAAAGAAAGACCAACCCAGATTGGGAACGACATTCTTCAAATGCTATAACACAGCCAAAATTAGTTAAACTCACTAGAAATTGTAAACAAAGATAAAAGAATAAAAAGAGAATAGAAAGATAGATAACTTTTATTGAATGACATAACATTTTTTTATATCTTTTCTAAACCTACTCAGCTATTATAAATGTCTGTTTTGGTTTCTATTCTACTTTTGTTAAGGTATGTGCTTTCTAATTCTTTTGTGAGCAAAAGAAAATCATTTCAGTTATTGTTCTCAAAAGAGATTTCTGTGTAATCATTATCACTGGAAAAATTTACCAATTTTATCTTGCTCAAATATCAGATAAATCTAAGTGGAAGATGAGATACTCCCCCATTAATAGTGATATTTAATTTTGATACACAGTGAACTTTTATCTATGGCAATGAAGTATATGATCAGATATATAGGTTGACGGGGTCTAAAGGTATATTAGTTTATATCCAGCAAGCTGCGCAAAACTAATAATATATTATACTTGCACTTTACTCTCAATAAATACAGTGTTTTGTATGGCCTGTTGTAATTTATATGCACAAACTCAAATGACGAGATGACCAATTATATAGAACTCTCTGTTAGATTTGATACATGGTGATTGGATTTGTTTCTTATGAAAGCAATAAAAAAAAGGCCGGGATGAAACAAATTGTGGAAATGGGTTATATGTTTAACAGTCAAAAATGAGGAAACAGATCTTTATTGTATGTAAAAGTGAGGAAACAGGTTTTTTTTATTGTATATAAAAGTGAGGAAACAGGTTTTTTTATTGTATATAGAATTGAGGAAACTGGTCTTTTTATTGTATATAAAACCGGATGAATAGGCTTGGTTTTCTTTATTAAAACAAGCCTCTTTGGTTTGTTTATTTTTTGTAATATTTGAATAATAATAATATTCTTTAGTTGAACTTTATTTCATTTGATATAATCAATAGTTTCTAGATATATATGGTCTATTCTTGCTTCTTTTGAGTCTCATATACTATTGTTGTATTGGTTGATACTCTTTCTTGCTGTATTACCAGCATTATTTCATGCTTATTTTGAGTGAGCTATATAACTTACTTGACGGTATACTTAACTTTCTAAGAGTGAAAGAGAAAATATTAATTTTTTGGATAAACCCGATGTTTTTTTCTTTGTAATACTTACTCTCTAGTTGAGATCTACTGACTGGTTTTAACAATGAATTATACTTAACTTGGTTGCATTGGTGGCCATGGTTTAGTATTGTTGATTAAACTATAATAAACAGCCTTAAGTATTGTGTACAAACAAGTATTAAAATATAATGAACAATTGTCAAAGTCAACTTACCAGAGAATAATCAAACGTAAAATAAGATAAAAACTAGTTCATGCTGATCACAGTAGGGATCTTGAGTGAGAGGTCTATGTGAACTGTAATAGATTAGAAAAAAGAGACAATGGCCATGTGATAAAGTCTTACCATCATAATAGATTGTAACATCAATGTCAAAGATAACAGAGATTGCTGGGGGTTACATAAAATAAGATCGTCAGTGATGAGTATTTATCATATTGTTATTCCTTTTTTGTCTGCAATAAATAATATCTATCATGAAAAGTAAGAGAATGTATAATGATGATCAGCTATATAGTAATAGTAGGAGGAACATAATAGACATAAGAACAAGAAGAAAAAGAACACGCGAAAGAAAAGAGTCACTAGCAAGAAATAATAAACCAAAATAAATAAGCCAAAAAAAGGAAAAAAAAAGAAAAAAAAAGCAATGACTTATGTTGGTTTGACTCTGATAAAATGCTGGCAATAAAATATCCTTCTGAAGAAAAAAAAAAGTGATTCCTGCACAGCTTCATATCTGACAAGCCATGTCTCACTGGGTTAAAAGATATGTTACTGAATAAAAATTACTATTAATAAAATGTAGTTAAATAATGTTCATAATATGATAACAAACTATCTTTTCTCTCACTTCATTTTATTATCTGTATGTATATATCCAAAATGATCATTTGAAGTGTATATTGATAATTAACCATCATTAATATGTATTCAATAAAAGAAACATGAGCAATCGCCGCATTTCTCCTCTCCGTCACCAAAACACCAGAATGCGTGCTGTCAAACGTAGTGAACTAGCAACTACTACTAACATTGCTTGCACTCCAGGCACTGTCTCTCTTGCTGTCACTGCCCCCAATACAGAGCTTGATGTCGGTCAGAGAGACTCAATTCTTGAGCTCCTGGAATTGACCAATGAGAAAATCGATTCGTTGAGTAGTGAAATCAATAAGATATCAAGATGGATGAATAATGTGGAAACAGGTGTTCGTCTCTCAAATGAGACGAATGCCTATCTTAAAAAGGCTGTCAATGATATTATTGACGCACAAACAACGCTCAACAGTGCTACCACAAGCAACATGACAAATAGAAACACTATCTCAGTAAGAGACCATGCTTCTCTGATAGAAAAGGATACAACTGTATCAGATATAAATTTATCAGGAAAACGTTACCCAAAGATATCAGTATGTAAACTTTTAAAATGAATATAACCTTTCCATATTTCTAACAAAAAAAGCTATAGGAACTCATCCATGGGTACATAAGAAACCCGAATTTCACCAGTTTGGATCGCACCAAAGTTGCTGAAAACAACGAAAGAGTAGGATGGTCTTTGACAAATAATTTCAAGGACGAATATAACAATGCTCTTGCCGTGCGACTTGTGAATTATCTGAGAATTCAGAAAGATGCTGTTGAGGTTCCCACAAGCGATCTTATCAGAATAATAAAGAACCACTTTCGGAACCAAGTACGTGAATTCAGATCCTCTCCTAGTAAGAAAACTTCTTGGCAAAGCTCGTCAAGAAGACGCAGTCGCAAAAAGGCGGTAAGTTGGAATTTTAAGTAAAAAGTATATTTATATTCTACTTACTTATATTTAAAATATTTTACGTATAGCTTTACGATCGTTGTGTCTTAACATACCAGATCTACAAAACTAATATTGACACATTGATGAAAATACCTGATTGTGGTAGAGTTCTTTTGAGAACTGTCATGTCAGATGGCGAGAGTGATGAAGAAGGCAAATTACAAGTTTATCGTCCTAGCTGGAGAAGCGATAAGGTATTTTCATATAGAAAAAAGAATCTTTAAAACACTATATTTGATAAGACAAGTTACTTATATATTTCTCTTATAAAAATAGCTTCAAGCAGTTATTAATACGGTTGATGACTTTTCCATTGTCAGACTAAAGAAAAAGGGAAATAGTTTGTTGGAGCAAAATTGTTCAACTAGAACTGAGAGTATTCCTGCTAGCTTGGCCGTCACGTTACCAGAATGGGCAATTTCAATGGAATAAAAACAAATAAAAACAAAAAACCCGAGTAAATAAAATGACATAAATTGAATAAAATAAAATAAAATAAAATAAAATAAAACGCTTTTTTTTCAAGTATTGTGCAAACATATACCTGTTGATGAATCCGCAATATAAAAGATGTGCATTGTTTATACATTGACTTTGGGTTGAATACATTTTCTTTTTGTTTGTTTTTAAAGTAATTTTAGAACATAAGCTATGAAAATGTACTATCAAAGGTATATATCAAACTCTCAGGTTAAACATATCTGAACAAAAGATATTTATATATAGTAAGCATATGTATTTATTAATATTAAAGAAATATAAAAGTTATTGACAATATTTAATTGGTATTTTCTATTTATTTATTTATTTTTTTATATTTTAAATGTATATTTTTCTAGACAACGGAATAATACACATCTTGATTGCACCTCGCGCACCTCTGTGTTCTCCAATAGCCACAGGTACAAGAATCCTATGCACAGGTAGAATACTCTCAATATTTTCTACAACAAAATCCTTCTCATTAACTTCAACACCCTCATTAACTTTTGGCTGCAATTTTGTCTCTTTATACCACCGTACATATGCAAACACATGCCGACTCAAATGGCCAGCAAACGAGTTTGTGGCAGTGTTTACGAAGAGGTACTGTATCTGCCCAGTATACGCATTGATATATCTGTCATTGCTTGTTCGGAAAAGGGCCTGGATGTATGACCCGCGCTTGGCCATACCATCACCACCTTTGTACACCTGTCCCAGAAGATGAATCGATTTCATTTTCTGAATCCGATTATTGACCATCTTTTGATCTGGTCCAGGCTGGCAATAATGGCAGAGGGCCTGGTCATCATAAGTCTCCTGGTAGTATGCCAACAAGTTCAGGTACTCGGATTCCTTCATACTGGTTTCCCTTTCCAGCTCCAACGGAAAAGTAGAAGGCGGTAAAGGCTCATTGCCTTTGGTGATATCAAAGTTTGTGTTTGCAGATGCGATGAAATCATCAAGTACAAAAGCAGAGGAAGCAGAGGAAGCAGAGGAAGCAGAGGAAGCAAAGGAAGCAAAGGAAGCGGAAAAAGCAAAGGAAGCAGAGAAAACAGATGAACCAATTAGCTCGACAAGAAGACCAGCATGAGATGGGCAGATACAAGGAATGATGGCACGAGCAAGGTCACTCTTATATGCATCTTCCAGGTATCTTCTCATGTAAGTGGCCTCAAAGCCATCCCTCCAATTGGTAGCATAGTTCTTGAGGACGCCATTGAACCTCTCAAAGCTAAACAACCAATAGCCATACACTGGCCCAAAACTGACGATTGTCTCCTTTAGATGCAAATGGAGATGCATATTTGGCAAAAGGAGATCCAGATCGTACAGAACCTCACATTCCACACAGAAGGCCTCCAGAGAGCGATGGGCCTCATCCAGATCCTCGGTGGAAATACTCGGACTTGATAGAAGATGGCATGCGTTGACGAAGCAGATCCAGTTCCGCAGGTAAATATCCGGAAGACGGCCTCGCAGAAGAACGGGAGAGTATACCAGACACCAGGATTTCCATTCATCGGCCTTCATGAAAGGGAAACCCTTGCCAATCTTCTTTCTCAGAGGGGTATAGTCAGGGGTATAATCATCTTGTCAGTATCTGCCTGCATATCTGACAAGTCTGCATCAGTCAACGCTCCTTCTGACCTCCATCTCTCCATCATGTATTTCGCTGTTCCCAGGAAGAGGTTATGCATCGGATCAATGATTGTGCACTTGACTGCATTAAAGTACTTGAGATTGTGAAGTTCTGACCAGCGGACTCCATTCCCTCTTTCCTACCTTGTATGCTGGGCATTGCTACTTGCATTTCTCCACATTGTTGCATCTTGCCTATTGGCTTCTTTGGTGCGATGGACCCACTCAGAAAAGACAAAGCCAGAGTAGTCTACACCATGACCTTTTTCAAGGCAAGGAAAATGGCGGTCGCATTTATGGCAGGCATTTATACTGGCATGGGATGTAAACCCACAGGTCTTGCGAGCAGCAGGGATGTCACAGGCTACCAAAAGCAAGGCAGCACAAACAAGAGCACCTTGGGGACACTGGGCTGTTGGGATCATCACACCCACATACAACTGTTTGAGCTCCTCGACGAGGGGACAGAGGTAGTGATTAATCTCACTCGTCTTGGCTTCCTTTGGTCCTGGCATGAGCCCAACAAGGACAACGTTCTCCTTCTTATACCGTTCGGACCTTGGCAAATTGTTAACTGAAAGGTAAATGGCCCCACATGAGTAGGTGACTCCATCGAAAGGCTGGAACCAATTGATGTTCAATGTGAGCATAAGAGAACGCTCATGGGTCACGAATTGATTGTTGTCATGATCCTTAATTCGCCCCACTTGGCACCGTCGTAGATGTCAAACATCATATCAGGGACTTGATGTCTGTATCTCCATGCATTAATGGCTGCCTCAAATCCAGGGCGACAAAAGAAGATTCTGAATGCACTGGTGATAGAGTTGTATAAATATGCTCTCTTGGGTCTAGAAGAGTTTGAAGGTGCCGACAAGAAAAGCTGGTTTCTGCATGTAGCCCCCAAAAGCTTTCGGAAGTTGCAGCACTGAGGAACGCCTTTGGACTCAAGGTATGTCTGGTGACATTCACTGCAGGCGACAAAACGCTGAACACCTTTGATCATAGTATTCAGTCCGGTCATATTACTGAGACCACTGGAGCTCAAGGGAAGACGGAAGGACTGTCCAAAATGTGCAAGAACCTCGTTGAGAAACTTGATGAGAATGACACCACCGGAATTCACAACATACTTTGATATGAAGAAGGCAGCAAAAGAGGCAATGAAGGCGTTTGTGGGATCAGTTGGCATCTCAGATGAAAAAAGGTTTTCTGTTTGATAATGATATTAGTATATGTTACATTTTTTAGTTTACGAGTTTATTTTTTTTGTACTAATCTTCGATATCTTCAGAATCGTCCAAATCATCCAAAGCATTGAGAGTGTCCTGAGTGTCTGACTCAATGCTGTCATCATCACTGTCACTTTCACCATTGAACAACAAATCTTCGGTAAAATCAGGTAGATCTTCTGTAGCTATGTTGGTATAAAAAGCGTTAAAGACTATACTTCCATTATACTACTTTAATAAAATTATATACTTACATTCAATTTGCTCATTGCCTTCATTGTTCTTGGCATCAATCTCCATGTCATTGTCATTCAGCTCATGTAGTGTTTGTGTAGAAGGCACTGTAATATATAATTATACATATTTTTGTTAGACACAAAAAAAAAGACTTTTAATTCTAGTTGGAAAAGTGTTGCTGTATAATGTACTTACAAAGATAATCTCTTTTAAACTTTTCAATGAGATCAGCGGAAGCATGTCTTCTGTATGTCTGCTTGGACACCATCTCAAAAGCTTGACTATCAGGAGAGCAGATGGAGCATACACATTTGACTTGAATAGTAGAATAGATAGATATATTTGGTTTGTAAAAGTTGGTTTTTTTTAGAGTTAACAATAAAGGAAAATGTTTCAGGTACATAGTTTATTTTATTCCTTTTATAGCTTAACAAATCTCAAACTGCCAGAATTGACATCTGTAATCATAGTCAGTAATTGACTATAAACAGTACCATTTGTTTCATCCTGGGTAAAATACCATAATCTTGCCGATTGGTTCTTGCGTATGTTTTAGATAATGTCTCACTATATTACCATTACTGTACGGGTGTCATTTATAATATATTAAAAGTGTTATACTTTCTTCCTTGAATATATAGTACTTATACACATACAATGAAACAAAGGCTTAATTTTTATTAATTTTTATAATTATTACTATAATAATAGATAATAAAATTATCTATTATTGTTTTTTACTAGCAGTGATTTTCTTGTTTCAATATACATATTATTATTATTATTATTATTATTATTATTATTAATTTGTATGAGACAATATACAAAATAATATTAATTCCGCAATATACAAAAGAACAAAAAAAATCCCAGACATATGCTCAACCAAAAATATAAAACATTTGACTATTACCCAATAAAAAACCATAATATTACTATTGCCGTTAAAAATAAAAAAAAAAGGTGTGGATTTGAATTTGGCTCTACTATGTATCATATTATCTACCTATTTCCCACAGGTGAAATTAAGGGTTTTTTGCAGTGTATCCTGATTGGCTGACAAGAATTCGAGTACAACATAATGTTGTTGTTTCTGATCTGGGTTGATCTTCCTTTTACTATAACAAAGTCAAAAGGTCAAACCCACTGGGGATCAAGGAGTATACATAAAATCAAAGAGAGGATAAAAGATACTTTTTATTGATATGAATTGAATTGTCTTATATAGGTTTCTAAACTAATACTGCATATTATCTGCAGTAGCTATTATATTATATTTAAATAAAAGAAGAGTCATTATACTGCGGTTAACCATTTTCAGATTTTACAAATTCATCAAAATAATATTGTCATGCCCGAATTCTTGTCAGCCAATCAGGATGACGATTACACAGAATTCTCTTTTGAGAACAATGACTAAAGTGATTTCCTTTTGTTCACAAAAGAATTAGAAAGCACATAGCTTAACAAAAGTAGAATAGAAACCAAAACAGACATTTATAATGGCTGAGTAGGTTTAGAAAAGATATAAAAGAGGGTGTTATTTCATTCAATAAAAGTTATCTATCTTTCTATCTTCTTTTATCTTTGTTTACGATTCCCAGTCAGTTTGACCAATTTTGGCTGTGTTACAGCATTGGAAGAACAACACAGATCGAAAATGACAATGTCTAACAAGATAAAAACCAAAAATCTCTCCGACCGGGAATTGAACCCGGGTCTCCCGCGTGACAGGCGGGGATACTTACCACTATACTATCGAAGAATACATTGAAGTTACGCAATTAATATTTTAAAAAGCCGTAAACAACAAAATTTTGGTTGACCGGCAGTGCGGTGATGTTGCCTAATTCTTTGTAGTTCTAGAAAAATTATATTCTATTATTATATAGCCTTCAGGACAGCCTCAAAATTATTTTCCTGTCCTAATTTTGAAATGCCACATAGTAAAAATTAAAAATAATTCCACTTATATTTGTGCGGGACTTCACAAGCTCAAATGTAATATAAAATAATATAAAAGAAATAATCCAAGACAGTAAGAAAAGAAGTCTGTAATTCAAAAAGTATTTAATATAGTATAAAATAATCTATATAAATTATACTTGTCATATACAACTTATATACACGATACTTATACTTCTTTACGTTTAAAGCTATATATTCGTCAAAAGACATATAATTATTCCAACAAACAAAAACAATTATAGATAAAAAAGATTCTAAACGTTCTATTAAAGTAACTTTTTATACAAACTTAAGTTTTTTGATGTTTTTTATTAGCTAGTAAATATACTGTTTTGGTTTTTTCCTAAGAAATCTAATGTCTTTCTCCCCAAAACCCTCTTCTTCTCTACCAAGTGCATTGCTATTTCTTCAGATAACTCACTTTCCTTCACGTGCTTTTTAATAGCAATTACTAGGGGAGTAGTGCTTCCCCCCCCCTTTCACTGCAAAAACCATTGGGAATTATTATAATAATAGGTTTTGATTATCGGGATATTTTGTCACATAAAAATGAATTACTCGTAAATATTAAGGAAATCATAGTTGACAAGTTATTGAATAAAGTGTCAAAAATAATTGAATATTATCTTATTCCAAAAATAAAAACCGGGAGTTTAGATATAATGTCTGTGTATCAACTGTTCTTGGGGATCAATTATATAGACTATTCCAAATGCAGAACAATGTATTATCTACCACTGATTACACCTGTAATTTGATGTAGGCCTTGTTTTTGTAATAACAGGCGTAATAACAGGGCACTTCTTTAATGTTTATTGGCTAAATGAATCGAAGAAAAAATTCTCATAGGTGCAAATGCTAAGCACGAGTTACTCAATTGGATATTGTTTTGTTTTGAAAAATGGTTTTTTATTTGTTTTTATTTTGGATAAAAAAAGCCTTTTTTTTGGCAATAATAAGAATTCTATATAGTATTACTATTAAATACACTAATCTGTTATATTGTACTTCTTATAAATTTTGTTTCAGAATTTTTTGAATTAATAAACTCGGATAGTGAGTATATATGCTTACTGAAGCTATTTGATTAAAGGGAGTAGAAAGATACTTACATACTGTTAGAATAATTTGTTAATAATGGAATAAAACACAGATTTATATTATCAAAAGCTACGAGCCAATGCGTCATTCAAGTATATATTACAAAGAAAGGAATATAAAACATATACATACATATTTACTAAAGGAACATGTCTTGTCCTTGAGTACCGGTCATATAAGAATGTGAAGAACCATTTCAACTATAAAAAAGGAGAGTGAGAATGCTGATATAAAAAAACAAAACAAAATAAAAACAACACAATAATAAAATGAATAACACGTACCCTTATATTCTTTAAATGATTTGTTTTTACTGACCATATGTAAATCAAGGGTGAGCTATATTTAAAGTAGATGTTAGATATTGTTTTTAATACTGGGAAGAAGATGTTGATATAGATATATACGTACATGCCACCAATATGTTTTTGTGTTTTTTTTTGTCTGCACCGGTTATATCAGAGAAATATATGTAATGGCTATTTAAAGTAATTTATAGTTAGTAAAATAATGATATATTTAATAGTAAAGTACCTCTTGTATAATGAAAGACACCTGCATCATATGTATATATTAAGGGTGCCTAAAGTGAAACATAGTAGGATTAAAAGAGTGTTATTTTTATTAATATTATTAAAGAGTAGAGAAAAACAGAAAAAGGTGGGAAAATAAAAAACAGTGTTTGAAAAAGCCGTAGACCCTGAAAAAGTTATTAGACTGTTTCTCTTACTTTGAAAAAAAAATTGTCTACTAATTATAGCTTTATATGTTTCATAAAACAATTGTTACTTACTATATACCTAAAGAAGTTGTTTTCTAGCTCAATTTTTTTCAAAATAATATATTTCGATCTCCTCGATCATTTAAATAAAGAAGTATTTACACACTCATACACTTGCTCAACTTGCTCACTTAATCATTAACATAATTGTTTAATCACTCAATTACTCTACAATTCTTTACGTGTAAAGTACTCTCTTAAAAATTTATTAAAATAGAAATATCAGGCAATATATACCAGAAACTTATTATTTTATTATATAAAAATACAGATAATGGCTCCAAGAACTAACATCAACCAGAACGCACGTACCAATGGATCAACATCTAGGCCATTGATCAACGCAGTCAACACTGGGTGTATAGAATCGTCAAATCCAATGATTGCTCCTAGACCAGAAAATATGTCAATTCCAGTGTCAGAGTTTAATGATGTAGTCAGTCTTCTCGCTACACTCAATGACAAAATGACAGCCGTTAGTTCCGATGTTAGTGAATTGAAAGGTAATTAAACACAAACTATATTGTTTTCCAATAGACTGACTATTTGAACAGTACAATGCCAGGTGGGTGCTCAATTGACTGGCATGCAAGCCGTTCTGGATTCTGATATGGATCCTCAGGACATCATAAGCAGCTCAAGACACCCAAAGATCTCAGTAAGCTCAAATACTAAAATTATAAAAACAATCTCCCTTTAAATCTAACATCAATATACCTTTAATAGAGTATTATTCGGGGGCGGTTAAGAGATATTAATCTTAAGACAGATGATTTGGAGTTGATCAGAGAGAATGATGATAAACCAACTTGGGATGTCAATGTTGGTTTGTCTGACGAGTTTAACAAGAATCTTGCAAGTGATTTGATGCTTTACATTCGTCGTCAACCTGTAGCAGCCATGGTACCACCAAAAGAGCTATGTGGTATAATTGTAAACAGCTATTACAATCGCTTGGCTGCTAGTAAGCTTACTGAAGAAGACAGACAGACAAACACTACCTCAAACAGAAGAGGAAATAGAAAGACTGCTGTAAGCATTTCTATTTATAATAATTCAATTTTGACAAGTATACTTAAAATATTATATATATCGTAGCTTAATAAAAGGAGAAAAAGAACGTACACAAAGCATAAGGATGCCGTCACTGAAAAGTTTAATCGGGATTATAATGGCGTTTTTTACAGAGATGCAATGTCTGGTGATGAGACAGAAACCGATACTTCTGTTGTTGCATCTCGTCCTGATTGGCGTAGTGATGAGGTAATGTTTTATATAAAATGGTTTTTCTGTTGTTTGATTCCTGATGTATATATACATTTATAGTTGAATACCGTGTTTGACTTTCTTGATGAGCTCGCCAGAGATGACTTGGGAAAAAGAGCAACGCAGTTGAAGTCGCGGAGTCATGTGTTAGTACACAAGACAATTCCTCGTGGCTTGGTCACAAAAATGCCTACGTGGTCAAAACGCGTATAATAAAATTTCTGTCTTTTTAGTTGCACTCTTTATCACATCTCTTTTTATGTCTATGAACTATGTTTTATATTATTATTAGTTTAAAAAAAAGATAGAGTATTTTATTAAGCGTACAGCTTTCTTGGCAGAGGAATAACAACGACTTTTGCCGCACCACTACCAGACACATGACTTCCAATTGCAATTGGCGACAAGATGCGGTAGACAGGCAGAATGTTGTCGTAGTCATACTTCAGAAATTCTGGCTCATACAACTCGATGCCCTGCTTGATTCTAGGTTGATGGCGAGGAATTTTGTACCACTCAACGAAGGCAAATACGTGTTGGGGGTTGTGACAAGGGGAAAGGTTGGTGTGCGTGAGGTTTGGTGTAAAATCGTGCAAGAACAAGTACTTAATACGACCAGCATATCTTTCCTCAGAGTCTCCACTTTTTTCAATAAATTTCGCTTGTATATGCGATCCTCTCACGACTAAGCCTTCTCCACCTGTGTAAACTTGTCCAAGAAGATTGATGGACGAAATCTTCTGGATTCGGTCATTCACAAACCAACAATTCCTGATTGTTGTCTTGGCACTGCAAAGACAATCATCGTCATACTCAATTTTATAGAAATCGAGCAGACAATCATACTCAGATTTTCTCATTGTTGTTGGTGGCTTCAAACACAATGGTAGAGCGGAAAGAGGTAGAGGTTCGTTGCCAAATGTTTGCTTTGAAGGCTTTTCAGCGGATTGTAGGAACGTTGGCAAGTGAAAGAATGACGGTATCAAAGGATGTGGCGAAAGTGCAGGATTATAGATTTTACGACCAGACAGCTTGAGAAAGAGAGAGAGGAGTAAAGGGCTGGTAACATTTCTGAGATGCGCTTGACAAAAGTCACCATTGTAAGAACTCTCAAGAAACCTTTTCATGTAGGTATTCTCGAACCCACTCTTCTGGTTTGTCTCAAACCCTTTCAATACACCATTATAGCGCTCAAAGCTAAATAGCCAAAATCCGTAAATTGGCCCAAAGTCCTCAATTGTTTCTTTTAGATGGAGATGGAGATGCATGTTTTGCGTGAATACATCTGGTTTATAAAAGTCTTCACAACCAACACAGAACTCCTCCAAACTTTCGTGAGCTTTTTTGATCTCATTTTTGGTGATACTTGGCTTCGTCAATTCTCTGCATGCATCGACAAAATGGATCCAATTGCCAAGCAGATCATCTCGCAGGCGTGTCTTAAGCAGAACAGGAGAGTATATCAGGCACCATGATTTCCACTCATCTGCCTTCATAAACGGAAATTTCTTTCCAATCTTTATCTTCAGAGTCGTATACCCTACAGGGAGTACCATTCTATTAGCCTCTTCCTGCATCTCTACAAAATCTTTGTCATCAAGCAAATTGTTTGCAATCCAAATATCCATCATTCGTTTTGCAGTCCCGAGAAAAAGGTTGTGCATGGGATCGATAATGGTTGCACGCACTGGCTCAAAGTACACAAGTCGATGAAGCTCAGACCAACGAACACCATTCTCAATTTCCAATCGCTTTCTCTCTGTCAATGTCTTTGCATTCTTCCACAGGTTTGCATGTCTGCGATTTTCTTCTTTTGTGCGGCCTACCCATTCCGAAAACTTAAGCCCAAAATAGTTTACAGCAGTGGTCCCATCAACATGAGCAAACTGACGATTGCATTTGTAGCATGCACATGTGCTGTTGTGAGATGTAAACCCACACGTCTTTCTTGCAGCAGGGATGTCGCATGCAACCATCAACAGAGCAGCACGCACCAGAGCACCTGAGCAGTTATATGTATCAATTGTGATACCTTTATACAATAGCATAAGTTCATCAACAAGAGGACGCAAATAGTTATTGATTTCGTCGGTGCTTGCTTCTTTAGGTCCAGGCATCAATCCAACAAGAATGACATTTTCTGCCTTGTTCCGCTCTTCTCTCGGCAGATTGTTAATTGTCAGGTATATCGCACCACAAGAATATGTTACTCCATCAAATGGTTGAAACCAATCAATGTTCAGTGTCAATAGTAATGATCGTTCCTTCGAAACAAACTGGACACCATCCTCATCTACTAATTCGTTCCACATCTTTCCATCATATACATCGAATAAAGTACCGTCGACTTTTGGTTCATGATTCCATCTGTTGATCATACTCTCAAAAGAAGGACGTGTAAACATTTTTTTCAAGGTAGTTGTCAACGAGTTATAAACAAATGTGCACTTTGGAATCATGGCGTTCTTCATACTAGACTTGTAGAGATCATTCTTACAATGCGTCTTACTACCAACTCTTTTGAAATTGCAGGATGTATGTGTGTTGTTGCTGTAATCGTACAATGTGTGACAATTACTGCATGCTACATATTTTGATACGCCGTTTGTCAAGTCATTGTATCCTGTCATTTTCCTCAAACCCGGAATGCTTGTGGGAAGTCGGAAATCCTCTCCATAATGTTCGAGGATTGTATTTATGAATGTAATCAAAATTACTGCGCCTTCATCCACAATGAAGCTAGAAATAAATATCACAGTGAAAACCGCAATTACTCGATGCCAAATATTCTCTGGAAGGTTTTCTGTAGACTCTGTAAGTTATCATAAAATAATATTAATTTTTTGTTTCTTTAAGTCAAACCTTTTTTCTTCAATCATAGTTTATTTTTAATATTTACCCTGTTCTTGCTCTCTGTTCTGTTCTTCTTGCTCAAATTCATCCGACGACTCATATTCAGACTCATACTCTGAGGTATACTCCTCTGTTTCAAAAAGAGATTCTTCCACCAAAAGAGGTAAGTGGGTATTGACATACTGCTCTGGTGAGGGTGCACCATTGGAGTAATTATCATCTATTGGTACCGAGTTTAAATAGAGTGCGCATTGGGTATAAAAAATAAAATACTATTACATTCAATATGTTCTTCAATTTGATCTACGTCCATATCAGCTTCACCAGTGTTTACTTCGGCTGTCAAAACTATTTGTTCTAATGGATTAGAATACATCATATAAATAAATGAAAAATTGATAACTTAATTTACCATTAATGGTTTTATCCATATTCCTGTCATTATCATTCTGGGCATGACGCTTGGCAGTTCTTTTATCTGTCATGGTGTATCCAAGAGGATTGCGATTGCATCTTGTGCATTTGCAACGAACTTCATCGGGATTGGCAATGGAAAACATTTTTTCACTTAATTTTTTTTAATAATAAAGGAAGTGTGTAACAGCCGTTGCTTATTATAATTGTCTTTATTATTTTGAAAAAATTCTCTCAGGGACTCTGATATATATTAGGCCAATGATATGTCTTTAAATATATTCTCGCTGCTAAACACAGGAAATGACCTGGGTTGTAATTTTTTGGCTACTATTATCGATAATTCCAGGTAAGTGGAATTCAATTATTTTAAGGTGTTTTTGCAGTGTTTGGGGGGTCCCCCCCCTCCCCACTTCATTCGGGGGGGCCTCAGATCCTACTGGACATTAATAAAAAACCTTTTCTTATAGGAAGTTTGAGTGCTGTATAACACAATTAATATGGTTATTTGTTTATCCTCTTTTTATTTATAAGTTTATTTGATGAATAAGAAAAGTTATATTATAATAGTATAGACATATATAAGAAATTTAAAAAAATAAGAATAAAAAAAGATCTTTGGATGTTGCATAAATATAAAATAGCATGAAAAATATATAAAGTTGACAGTAATAAAAGAAAAGGGCATACTTTTATAGAATTTAAGTTATAGATCATAGGCATAAGGTTTCTGATCTAGTTTGTAGAAAGCACTTCCTTGTATATAACATTATTGATATATATAGTACTTGGGGGCATAGGTGTGTCAGATGGACACTTAATTATAATTTTGACCCCAGATGTGTGGTATTTCAGGTACAAAACAATAGAAAAATAAAATATTTGATAATAGAGACGTATAGAAATACTTTGAGACTGTATATCAGTTTTTTTTATTCATAAATAAAAAGTGTCCCTTTTTATAAGAAAACACAATCTGCTCTTGTCATTACGTCTTAGTTTCTTAAGGCTTTCTTCCTTTACTATATTTGGTTATTAGAGTGTATTTACTGCTTAACTAGTGTCGGTGTTACAATTATGACATCAAGTCATAAATTGTACTTCTTTAGCTCTTAGCTATTCTTTTCTCTTTTATACTAGAGCTTTAGGACTTCCTACTAAATTAGCTCCATATTGATCTGACACAGTTTACCCGGCAGTATGATATAATTATCTTAACAATCTTTAAGATATTATCTACAGTACTAACTGTAATAATTATTGGGCTGATTACTTAATCGTTTATATATATTTTATACTGACAAGATGATAGCTACTACACTATCCCAATATGAATATGTTCTTATATGTGATAAATCCAACATCCGAGTGTCTGGATCACCACAAGATGGTCTCTGAACCTGAGAAAAAGCAACATATAATTGGCCATGACCAAATACTGAGGATGGGAGATACAGGCCAACACTATCAAGTGTTTGACCCTGTGTTTGTTTATGGTCATTCCAAAAGCAAGATGGATAGGAAACTGACAACACTGGAAATTGATTGAGAAAGTAGACTCGGAAGGACTGAGCTTGATCTTAGAAATAAGAACAAATTTTCCACAGTGCAATCCAGTTACAATTGTTACTTTGATTACATGGCCACCAAATGAATTACATATCAGATGTATACTATTACATAAGTCATTCTTAGGGTCAAGATTGCAAAGAAGCATTATAGGACAGTCTTTTTTTAGTATAAGAGAATGTGGAGGCAGTGACCCAGAGTTAAGACTGTTAACACTGCAAAAGATAACCGATTTAAGTAGCTTAATTTTTGTTTAAATCCTCCAAAAATCGGTGGTTTATGTTCAATTATAGTTCGGTATTTGTTACAAAAATTGGTTCATTTAGTTAACCAAATGATGAGATTATAGATACTAAAATCAATAGATAAATTGAGAGTTATAATTCCCTCTTTTCTTGAAATGTTATAATTGTCTGTAATTCTGGTTATATATTCACCCATAACTTCAAACCGTACCTAAACCCTACTTGTTATGGAATTGGCTTTGAACTCTCTACCTCTTAAAAATTTTTATTTGCTTTAATTACATGATATTATTGGATAGATCTCACTAAAATCGACCTAGAATCAGTCTGAAATCTGACAGGAACCAGCATTCAAATGAATGATTGTAAAAAAAAACTTAAATAGATCTTGTTGACATCATCAAGAGATGACGCATTTGAAATAGAATCTCATGGAAAAAATGGTTTTTATTGATTTTTGAATGGTTGGAAAATATATTTAGCTATTTAATATGGACCACTAATACTTCTTTAACCTAACTTATACTATACTTCCCTACCTTATCAGTTTCATGTATTCGGTACATTTTTTGGTTTTACACTTCTTTAACTGAAAATGAAATCCTTGGTATTTTCTTGGAGAATACGTTTGTTTGGAACTACATTAGCTTAGAGCAAAAAAAGATACAGAAGTATTAATACAGGTTTCTTTATGAAATAAAATGAAATAACATACTTACTAGATCATTTATGGGGGTTCATAACAAATCTTGCGATAGAATAAAAATCCATTTGATTGATATTTTCTTTTAAATAAAAAGCAAGAAATAAAATAAACAACTTTATTAATATGTACGCTTTGATTGTAAAGACACTTGAATTACTTACATATTATAGACATGCATTTGCAAAAGGGGGCAAACCAGTATGACTTGAAAAAAAGGTGTGACATATTTATCTGAGAAGAAGAATTGATAAGTTATATTATTTAAGTTGAGTTATATATATATTACCTTTTCATAGACTGACAATGCCAGAAAGTATATAGTGTCAAGAGCAAAATATCTTTTATTACAAAATGGATAGAAGCCCTATCATTTTAAAAATAAAAAATATTTAGTCAGCAAGGTGTTTCATTTTAGTTAGGAGATTGTTTATTACCTGTACTGTTTTGAATGCTTGTTGAGTGTATTGTTTATCTAATATATATTAAGATGATTCTAAAAGCCAAAAGTATTAATAAAAGTTGAGATCTTAAGAGTAAGCTTACCAAGACATATAAAAAGAGACAAAATGAGAAGAGCAGGTTAAAGAAAGAGAAAATAAAAAAGAGGGGCACGGTTATTCTATTAAATACGAATTCGGGGTTTTTTTTAAAAATAAATAAATCAAAAAATAATTTTTGTCTGTAACTTAGAATTGAAAGAAAACGCAGTTGCACTATGCCAGCAGCTAATACATATGAAAAACAGAGTATAGTATAAAATCATATTATTCAAATACTAATACATAATATAAGAATAAAACATGGATTGAAAATTAAATTAAAGAAACACATAAAATACTCACAACAAGAGTGGAAACATTCAAAGCTGTTCTTGTTACGTAATAGATCATAGTGTTCTCTGAGAAAGAATAAAACTTAAAGCCCAAATTAAACATAATATAAATAGACCCTTTGGATTTAAAAAAAAAACAAGCTATTCTTATTATTCACAATGTCAAGAAATCTCAATAACAATTCAGTTAACAATGCTTTTGGTGAAGAACCTTCTGTGGGAAGGTAGATTAAAACCAGGCAGTCTTCAATTTTCTTATATTAATTTTATTTTCGTTTTTTATAAAAATCAAAAAAAAGTCCACCAAGAAATACCAATGATATAAGGACGATAATGTTGCAACACTCACAGGGAACAGTGAGCAATCAAAGACCACTAGCACCAAAGAGAGCTCGGTTGAATCTTGAAGGTGATTCGTCGGGTAGAACTCGTAACATCCATGATGTGTACGAGAAACTTGATACCATGAATGGTGTCTTAAACACTGTTTTGAAGAACACATCTTCTGAGAAAGCTGAAGCCACTGCTAGTAATGCAGTTGAGCAAGACATGTCGCCTGGACGTCAACCAACATTGGATGTAAGTAATCATAATATGTTTTTATGTAGATAGAATTTAATATACATTCATATTATAGCAATTGTTGCGCGATTATTTGAGTGAAGAGAAATTGTATGACCAATACAATACGAATGAAAATAAAAACAGTGAGGGAAACAGACTCGTTCTGAAGTCTGTTACCGATTACCTTTGTCGTCAAGAAGAGGGGAAAAAGGTGGACTTGCCAACTCTTCGAACTAAGATTGTGCGGCACATTGGCAACAGAAAGTTGCAAGAAAAAAAAACAGGAGAAAAGAAGCAGGAAGAGAATCGACGGGCCTGTCTTTGTCAGCGACGTGTAAAGGTAAAAAACACACGCACACAATATACTAGATGTGATATTAAATTAGAAATATTATATATTTATATATAGTCGTGTGAAAGAAGACAATCTGCCTTGAAAGCCAATCGGGCACACTTTGTGAACAGCTTTGGAGAGAATGTTGACAGTATTCTCCATGCTGATTACATGTCAGACCTTGAGAGTGATGACGAAAGAGAAGAAGAGGAACAGGATTCGTCCTCAGAAAAGAGTTTTTTTTGGAGATTCCGTCCAAGCTGGAGAAGCGAAGAGGTATAGTACAAAAAACTATTTTTTTGGATGGTGTGTAATAATACTTACATTGACATATAGGGAGATAGGTTCATTGATGAACTTGATGCGGATTATGAGGCAGCTCATGATAAGAAAAATAATACCCATCCATTCGAGCATAAATTTAAAGGAATAAGAGATAAGCAGCTTAGTAAGACCAAGGAAAACAAGCTGCCATCATGGTCAAAGAAACAATAAGACAATAAATCAAACATTTTCTAATAAATTGATAAAAGAGTGCAAAGTGGTATTTTATTAATATTATTTAAGCTTCTATTTTTTGGGGTAAAGGGATTACTAAACGTTTAAATTCACTAGTTATAGTAAACCTATATTTAGCAATTGCGATTGGTGAATATAAACGATATACTGGAATAATACATTCATAATTAAGTACAGAAGAAGGTTCATTCCAGAGCTCAATGCCTTCATTTAACATCGGCTGGTAACTCCCCGAAGAATAACTAGAGTACCACTCAACAAACGCAAAAGTATGGGTGATGACAGTTTCGTTGATGGTTATCAAATGTTGAAATAAATACAGTATACGGCCAGGAAACACTGCTTTATCTTCACTGTTATTCTCAAGATAATAGGCGCGGAAATAAGATCCAGAAGAGTATTCCTGTCCAAGAAGAGATATCCGTTTCATTTTCTCAATTCGGTTATTGACAAAAATCTGGTTAGACTCGCAGTTTGAATAATGGTCAAAAAGATCGTGACTGCCATACGCGTGTCTGTAAAACTCCAGTAAACATTCATAATGTCTCTTGCACATTGTAATCCTTTGGTCGAGTTTAATCGGAAACACTGAAGGGGGCAACGGCTCACAACCCAAAGCAGAATGACGAGGGTTTAACGAATATTCAACAAAGTCAGACAGAGAAAAGGTACTGGCAGTAGAAGATGGATGCAATGCTGCTAATTGATCTTGACTATTTGAAATGTGATGCAGAAAGTCAATTGCGAACTGGGGGAGATGGTTGACGAAAGATTGTATGAAGCTGCCAATGTATGTTCTCTCCAAAAATCTCTTCATCATTGTTGATTCGAAGCCGCCTTTTTGATTTGTTTCGATATTCTTCAACAAACCATTGTATCTCTCGAAACTGAATAACCAGAAAGCATAAATTGGCCCAAAGTCATAAACACACTCGCCAAGATGAAGATGTAGATGCATATTCGGTGTCACGGCCGATTTTCCATACAGTGTCTGAAATCTTGTACAAAACAATTGGAGTTTACTGTGGGCTTCGTCTATTTCTTTGTCATTGATCGAAGGTTTTGTGAGTAAGCGGCATGCGTCAACAAACAAAATCCAATTTTCGAGATTCTTGGCTGGGAGCACATGCTTCAGAACAAATGAAGAGTATATGACGCACCACGACTTCCACTCATCAGCTTTCATGAACGAAAACCCATCGGCAATCTTCTTTGTTATACGCGCATATCCACAAGGTACAACAATACCATTGGCAAGCTCTTGCATAGTTAACTGATTCTTTTCATTGATGTAGTTACACTCGCGCCATATCTGAATCATTCGCTTTGCAGTTCCAAGATAGAGGTTATGCATCGGGTCTGTTGTGGTGGTTGAAGTTGAAGAAGTTTTTAAGAGGAAGAATTCAAGATTTGAAATTAGGAACGAAGATTCGTGAGAACTTGTGTAGGTTTTGTTTATTGAGAAAGATTTTGTATCAAAGTTTGACCAGGTTCCTACACTGAACTACTACTGCTATTTATATTGTTTTGGATTGGGAAAATTATATGACTGGGGTCAGGTAATCGATCCTATCTGAGCCTTAATCAGAGCAACGTGATCTTGGGATAATTAATGTATGATTAATTATATAAATGTGTGTAGTCCCAATGAAGTATTAACATCGAAAGTAAATGTGTTTATGAGTTATAATTATGCTTATAATAATTCACTGATGTATCCCATATTATGGTGATATCATCATATGAAATATAATCACTATCATGCATGCTAAACCTGTGTGTTAAATAATAAAGTAATCGGTAGACACCTTTGACTGGAATAGCTGAGGCCTTATATTATTTCCTTCAGACTTATTCTCAATTACAGCAGTAGTCAATACTCATTTACAACAGGGTCTATAACTGTAAAGCGGACTGGGTCAAAGTAAGATAACCAATGAAGCTCTGACCACCGAGTGCTGTTTTCTTTTTCTAGGCATGTTCGCTCAGTATTGTTCAATGCATTTGCCCAGCTGACAGCGTGTTCCAGATTCATTGTCTTCGTGCGTCTCACCCAATTGCTATACTTGAATCCAGAGTAGTCAAGCTTGCTGGTCTTCTTTATAGTCGTGAATTGTCGTTGACATTTGTGACAGGCGCATGTGCTCATGTGGCCAGTAAATCCAGAGGTTTTGCGAGCGGCAGGGATATCACAGGCAACACACATCAATGCAGCACGAACAACAATCTTTCTATTTTGTGAGTCTGTCATTTCTACACCAATGTACATCTCCAACAATTCGTCAACGAGTGGCTTCAAGTAATGATTTATGCTGTCAGTGCTTGCTTCCTTTGGCCCAGGCATCATACCAACAAAAATGACATTTTCAGACTTAAGGCGTTCACTCCGTGGGAGATTGTTGATAGAGAGATATATCGCACCACTGGAATGTGTTCGTCCATCAAATGGCTGAAACCAATCGATATTCAGAGTCAACATTAAAGATCGGCTATCATCAACAAACCGTCTGCCATTGATGTCTTTAATATCACTCCAAACTGCACCATCGAAAATGTCAAGTTTGGTGTTTTCAATTATTTGACGACTTCTCCACAAATTGATCTTGGACACGAAATCTGGCTTGGAGAATTTTTGTTGCAAGGCGTACTTCAGAGAGTTGAATGGATATACCATTGCTGGAAGAGAACGATTTCCGGTTGACACTTTAAAGAGATTGTTGTTGCAAATGGCGGATTGAGAGAATTTCTTAAATGTACAGACTCTTTGACTTGTTTCCGGAGGATAAATCGAATGACATTGTGAGCATGCAATGTATACTGTCATTCCGTCTGTTGCCATGTTAAATCCTGTCTTATGCTTCAAGCTATTGATCGTCAGTGGAAGGGCGCCAGACATATCACAGAGAGACAGTAGAGTATTACAAAATTCAATGAGAATCGATCCACCGCTTTCCACCAAAAAGATCAAGTGAAATATGACAATGAATACTGCAACAAAGCGGATATACAAGGGCATGTTATCAAAAGACGAAGGACGAACTATGAAGACAAAGGTTAAGTTAGTTTAAATTAATATATTGATTAATTGTCTATACCGTATTAATTCATACCTGATTCTACTATTGAGGTCCCACTGGTCTCATCAAAGTTTTCTTCTTGTTCAAAATCAAAACCGGTATCGCCTTCTTCAATCTCATCGCCATCAACCACAAATGCTCCTGTAATTGTATCTTCGGCAGTAAAGATGGACTCTTCTTGGGACAAAGGTAAGTCAACTGGAAAGGAATAATTGTTGTAAAGATGTAGAAATAAAAATATAATTACAATTATAATCATATAAAAAATAAAAAATAAAAAAAATATATATCAGTTTCAATTATTATTTTGTTCATTTATTTTATTTTATTTTCTTACCTTCTTGATCAAATTCAATGTTTTGTTCTTCATTTTCGTCTTCATATTCGCCTTCGCCTTCGTTCTCGTAATCATAATCATTGTCATTGTCACTGTCAATACTATCTACTTCCATGTCGTCAAAATGTTCTTCAGGAACATCTATTTTATGAATTAATTTATATTAATTTTACATGTACAGCTCGAGTTATTCTTGTTATTTACCCATTGCATCGTCTTTGGCAACAGGCACTATATGTTTCTCATAGTGTCGTTGTGCATTTTATCTTTTCTGTTTCTTTCCACAGCTATCCAACTTTGTACAGTCTAGACATTTGCAGATAACATAACTGTCTTTCTTTTGATTATTGGACATGTAGATTGTTTTAAATTATAAAAAAAATTATATAGATTTTAAGAGATCTTGATCAAGGTCTTTATATACCAAAAAAAAATTATAAATAGATAAAATACTGCTCTATGCCATGACTATAGTATGCCAAGTAATTCTTTGATACATCTACCGCACATATCATCATAATTATACTCATATATTGTTAAGTCATTAACCAAGTCAAATACTGCGCACATTACTAAAAGTGTACGCAATTTTTTTTAAAAGTCTTTTTTTAGAATTATAATATTTGATATGACGATGATTCGACCATGACGAAAAATAATCCAAAAATGGAGTATTCGCCTCTCACAACATGTGAAATAAAAAAATCTGATATTTTAGTTCCATATATCAAAGGGAAAAATCACGCAAAAATATTGCCACAGTAAAAATGAAATCACAACCTTTTGTCTCGTTCCCTTGAAATATATGGATTAAATATTTATTTTTATATTCACATTTATAATACATAAAAAATATTTAAATGATTTATTTTGAAATATAAAAAGTGAAACCTTAAGAATATATATAATTTTTATTAAATATTATATTAACTTTTGTATAAGTGCTTTTTCAATGTAATTTAGAATTATATCAAAGAAGTGTATAATATAAAAAAAAACCCAATTTTGTAATTTTATGGCCAAAAAAATGATGGTAGTGTGATTTTACAGCTAAAAAAGAGCGATCTGAAATCACAACAGAAAAAAATAGAAATTATTTGAAAAAATTAAAAATCGAAAATTGTAGTAAAATTTTTGCAGGTTTTCAGGAACTAAAATCAGCGGTCTTTTGCAGTGTAAGTAACTCAATTGGATATGCTAACAAATCATCTTCACTTAGCCCTTTGTCGATGCTTTTAAACTCACATGCCTCTCCAGGGAACTGATTGATTAATATACTATTAATTTTCTTAACTTCGTTGTTCTTAGGAGTAAGAATTGCACAACTCATTAAGAAGTCGGTGTTTGTTGTGTTATTAGCAAGATCATGAAATATTGTACTGGCCAAGTGCTTGAGAGTATGGCCATCAGCACACATTTGTGCACGAACAGGAATAGAGAATTTGTCATCAATTATAGGAACTGAGCTACTACCAACTTGTAACAAATATGCTGCAAAATCTCTGAGATCATCTACTCCATTTTAGTCACTTGCTTATGCCACACACATGTTCTGACTAAGGGGAAGCTGCTTTACATACAATCACAAAAGAGATTTGTTGATACACTGTGCTACAATTTGTGCTCTTGAAGATCGAGGGACAACAGAAAGAACTTGACAGAAGTCTCCTCCAAAAACAAAAAGTTTCCCTCCAAATGATACATGCTCAAGTATTGGGTTGATTGCCTTCATGATATCTTGTATGGTTCAGCTTACAACATTAAAAATATTCTTGCTTATTATTGAGACTTCGTCCCAGACAATGAGCTCAGTTCTTTGGAATAATTTTGCAAGTTGGGAATTGACAGGAATATTGCACATTGAATGTGTATCAACTTCGAGAGGGATTTTGAAAAGGGAATGAGCTGTTCGACCACCATCCAAAAGCAAAGCAGCGATTCCACTTGTTGTAACAGCAAGGGCAAACTTTTCTTGTTGTCTAACTTTTCTGAGTAAAGAATTAAAAAACAAAAGTCTTTTCAGTACCATCTGGGCCATCAATGAAGAAGAGTCTTGACATATTATGTTCTGTATTGACTGCTTCCATTATACTGCTGTAAACTGACCTTTGATCATTGTTAAAATCAAAGGTATCTGGGTCTGGTAATGTCGATGCTTCAGCACAAAGGTCTTCCTGTCCACTAACCAATATACATCTTCTATATGTCCGACTTTGCTCTGCTATTACTGGCAAAGGTGGAAGGACGAAACCATCAAAAGAAGATATTGATACTGCATTAATGGACAGGTGGTTTTCTATACTCCACATGCATCAGTCATACATATCTTGAGATGGTTCAAGAGAAGGGTTGGATTGCTCCGTTTGTGCTGTGTGAAGATAATTTTCTATCATTGATTTTTGGTGGGCATTCCAAGGAGCAAAACGGTCTGATATCTCACAAAAGACTAACAGGACTGCAAACAACTGTCTCATTTCTAATGGAAGCGAAAGGACAGCAGCTTCTTCTATACACATATTTCACTCACAATCATCTACTAACAAACCAAGAGCACGACATGCAATCTGATTTGTGTCATACTCTATGACTTCTATAGTTCTTAAGTGTTGATAACTTGTGGCTCCTAGAACTTTATGTAATAAAATATGCAGGAAGTGCTTCTCAGGGTTTTTAGATGATAATGCATATACTCTTTCTATGATTTCTTTTTCAAATCTTATACGTGAAGTCCACACTTTTTCTTTTGTTTGCCAAACATAGTGGCTAGGAAACTCCACATATAGATATTGCTGAGACTCTGTGTTTTCAGCATTGAATGCAAATCATGATGTCAATGTAGTGTTGATGTTGGTGTTAGACAGTCTTTCTGCATTTGTGGAATCAAGATAGTATACAGGCTGCAGGTTTTGGAAATGAACAGCAAGTCTTTAGTGAGTGGGGAATTTGTGATGGAACTTGAAGGAGAATATTCTCTAATATGCCTCAGATGCTGACATGTATCTGGCATCAAAAAATTTATTCACTTCATTTGTGTGTTGTTGCTCTTCTTGCGGAGCTCCAGTTACTGCATTTTCTGTTCTTGTTGGCTGCACACTTGTCATTACATGGTCATGACCTTTGAAGATGTACTTGTATAGATATTTCATGGAAGATACAGAGGTACTGATCTCAACATTAATATGGGCTGTAGTATTTCAGATACAAAACAATAGAAAAATAATAAATTTGATAATAGAGACGTATAGAAATACTTTGAGACTGTATATAAGTTGTCCTTTATTCATAAATAAAAAGTGTCCCTTTTTATAAGAAAACACAATCTGCTCTTGTCATTACGTCTTGTGGTGATCCAGACACTCAGATGTTGGATTTATCACATATAAGAACATATTCATATTGGGATAGCGTAGTAGCTATCATTTTATCAGTATAAAATATATATAAACGATTAATCAGCCCAATAATTATTACAGTTAGTACTGTAGATAATATCTTAAAGATTGTTAAGATAATTATATCATACTGCCGGGTAAACTGTGTCAGATCGATATGGAGCTAATTTAGTAGGAAGTCCTAAAGCTCTAGTATAAAAGAGAAAAGAATAGCTAAGAGCTAAAGAAGTACAATTTATGACTTGATGTCATAATTGTAACACCGACACTAGTTAAGCAGTAAATACACTCTAATAACCAAATATAGTAAAGGAAGAAAGCCTTAAGAAACTAAGACGTAATGACATGAGCAGATAGTGTTTTCTTATAAAAAGAGACACTTTTTATTTATGAATAAAGGACAACTTATATACAGTCTCAAAGTATTTCTATACATCTCTATTATCAAATATTTTATTTTTCTATTGTTTTGTATCTGAAATACCACATTTTTTACTTTGAATTCTTGAAATGTCTCAACAATCCACTGTCAACTCTACTATCGTTTCTGGTGAAGAAACCGCCTGTGTCAACTCTGGTGTCATTCCTCCTCCTTCTGCTGCTGATTCTGCCGACCACGATGGTGATACCGTGATGACTCCCTTGGGTTCTGAGAATGATGCCTCTGATTCTGAAGAAGGTTCTTCTGGTTCCAATGCTGGCCGTTCTGGTTATGAGAGTGCCAATTCTCCTCGCATCTATTTGGGTAACTCTGGAGTCAGAGTTAACAACAACCTTGTGGCCACCATGGAGATGTTGCTGACTTCTGCTGAGGAGGATCTCAATGCTAAGAAGGGCAACTACTACGCCACTCTAGGCCACTACTTGGGTGTTTCCAAGAAGGATCCCACCTCTACTGCTGCCAAGTCTGCTTCCAAGGGTGCCAAGGAAGCACAAGAACTGTTTGCTGAGGCTGAGCAAATCCTCAAGAACCTCAAGGCTTTCACTGCTCCTGCATCTAAGCCTCATGACAAGAGAAGCACTCTGGTTCCCAGTAACCTACCTTTTCTCCAGCTTTGTTCTGAGAGTCCTCTGGTGAAGGCCAACCGTGATGTGTTCGATTCAGTGTATGACTTCTGCCAGGAGTTTACCACAGTCCTGGAAGCACACTCTCTGTCCTTGGATTCCTGCTGGGAACGTCTGTTGCCCACTTGTTTGAACAAGGAAGAACGTTCTTGGTTTGAGAACAAGCTCAAAGGAAAGGCCTACAACTGGAAGAAGGCCGAAAGTATTCTTCTGGATCACTATGACATGCCATTCTGTAAGTTCCTGAACATGGGTCGTGTCTGGTGCATGAAACAAGACAAAGGAGAATCCGCTCGTTCTTTTGGTGCCAAGTTCCAAAAGTTCTGCTGCCAGGCCTCATTGGACAATGGTATTCAATTGGTTCTCTGCTTCTGGTGGAATCTGCGTCCAGAAGTCTGAGAAGCTTGTCTCATTCTTTTGTCAGCCAACTATGGCACCAAGATGCCCTCAAAGATTGAGGACATCATCTTGTTGGTGAGTGTGTCAACAAGTGACTTCACTGCTTTGTTACATAATCCTGCCAATGGTACTGCCGCGTCCTTCTGGAGTTCGTTTGATGCTCACAATGGTGCGTTCTCTCTCTCTGCTGGTTCCCACAAGGGAAAGAAAAGGTCTTTCTCTTGCGAGCGTGGTTCTCAGTCTCCCAAGAAGTCATGGGACTTCAAGAAGGCAATGAAGGATGGCATCTGTTTCTCATGCAAGGCTCCCTGGGTTAAGGGACACTCCTGTCTGGAACGGGAGAAGTACTTGACAAAGGTGTCAAGGATGGCAGTCCACTCCTCTGCTGGTAGACCAGCAAGAGCTTCCACTGTGGTTGAGGGGAGTCCCTCGTTATCTTGGTCAGAGTACCAAGACAACACTAGTGCTCTGGCCAAGAGGGCATTAGATTGTAAGTACAATCTTAAAGACATGGTTATTAAAAGAGATTTTAAGAACATGGGCACTAATATTATCTTTCCTATTTTGGCAAATAATTCTATTAGAACCATCTTCTTGTTGGACTGTGGGGCTACGTTCAGTTTGGTAGACAAGAATTTTTGCTTGAAGAATGGAATAGCCATTAGTTATATCAATTACATTAATAAAGATTTGTTGAACAAAAACAATGTTCATAAGTATTTTATTTGTTTGGCTGATAGCAATACCCAGATTAAAAGAATTGGTACTTGTGTGATCAGTGTAACTTGCAATAGTAAGACTATTCAATGCGAGTTTGAAGTGATGAATTTAACTAATAGTCATGAGTATGATATCAGTATTGGTACTGATTATATGTCTTCTCTTGATATTGATATTTATGGTTTACCTTTATTATATGATGATGCTGATTCAAGTGAGGAACGTAGAGAAACCGATAGACACTTCAATAATAAGAGTGATCTTCTTGAATCCATTGAGAGAGAAAATGAACAAAAGGAAAATAATCCGGCTGTAGGTCCCAAACAGTTTGAGGATGCTATGGATTATATTTAACCGTTCATTAAAGACAATCAAGATATTCCTAAGGGTTCGTTTTTGTACTACACCTGAAAGTGTTGTATGTTTGGATACTCCAGAAAATGCTATGACGTTCAGAAGCCCTTATCCCATTCCTTACAAGATGCAAGATGTAGTGGATGAACAGGTGAAAGAATGGCTGGACAATGATATAATTGAAAGAGCGTCTGCAAACACACAATGGAATACGCCTTTGACTGTTGTCAAGAAGACAAACGGTAAAGGAGAAATTACTGGATATTGTGTTTGTCATGATCCCAGATTAATTAATTGCCTGTTGAAGTCAATCGATCATATGCCTTTGCCATTGATTGGTGAATTGTTTGAAGATTTAAAGGGTGCGAATATTTATTCCACTCTGGATTTGAAATCTGCATTTAATTCTTTGAGGTTGAACCCAAAGGACACACACAAACTTAGTTTCACATGGCGTGGTGTACAGTACAAACCTATTGGTACAGTGTTTGGTATAAAGCATGTCAGTTCACAATTTCAAAGAACTATAAGTATAGCTTTGGAAGAACTATCTTTTATACGGTTTTTTGTGGATGACATTGTTTGCACAAGCAAACCGTTTGAGGAACACAAGGAACACTTGAAGCAAGTGATTGAGAGATTAACAAGGGTCAATTTGAAGTTGAATCCGAAAAAATGACATTTCTTTCAGAAAGAAATTTATTTGCTTGGTTTTCATATTTCATCTGAAGGAATTACAATGGACCGCAGAAAACTTGTTAATGTTCTTGAATTTCCTCAATCAAAGACAGGTAAAGATATCCAAAGTTATTGTGGGTTGATCAACTATTTTAGAACATTGATTCCTGTTGTAAATGAGTATTGACTACTGCTGTAATTGAGAATAAGTCTGAAGGAAATAATATAAGGCCTCAGCTATTCCAGTCAAAGGTGTCTACCGATTACTTTATTATTTAACACACAGGTTTAGCATGCATGATAGTGATTATATTTCATATGATGATATCACCATAATATGGGATACATCAGTGGATTATTATAAGCATAATTATAACTCATAAACACATTTACTTTCGATATTAATACTTCATTGGGACTACACACATTTATATAATTAATCATACATTAATTATCCCAAGATCACGTTGCTCTGATTAAGGCTCAGATAGGATCGATTACCTGACCCCAGTCATATAATTTTCCCAATCCAAAACAATATAAATAGCAGTAGTAGTTCAGTGTAGGAACCTGGTCAAACTTTGATACAAAATCTTTCTCAATAAACAAAACCTACACAAGTTCTCACGAATCTTCGTTCCTAATTTCAAATCTTCAATTCTTCCTCTTAAAAACTTCTTCAACTTCAACCACCACAACAATTCCGATTGTATCTTCCATTATGTCGCCACTAGATTCATTGAGAAATAAAAAGTCGATTACCCATTTATGGACAGATAAGCATCAAACTGCATTCAATAACTTGAAAAAAGCACTTTTGAGTGATCTGGTGTTGTCGTACCCAGATATGAACACTCCTTTTAGTATCAGCTGTGATGCATCTCTTACTGGTATTGGTGCAGTGTTGTATCAAGTCAAGAATGGCAAGAAAAAATATATTTCTTTCATGGCTAAGAGCTTATCCCAAAGTGAAAGACAGTATTCTGCGACCAAAAGAGAATTACTAGCGTTAGTATTTGCACTCAAGCGTTTTCACAAGTATGTCTATGGTTCTCACTTTACCTTGTACACGGATCACAAGGCATTGACATATTTTTATACCTAACATGTTGCGAATCTGATGATGATCACATGGATGGACACGATTTTACAGTATGACTTTAAGATCGTTCATTTGCCTGGTGTTTCGAATGTGCTTCCTGATGTGTTGTTACGTTTGTCTGAAGAGACTGAAACATTATCAAATGAACTGGGTGAGGATAGTGTGGTTAGATCTATCATGAGAAATAGTGCTGTCACTATGGAACAGCTACCAGACATCTTGAGTGGTGAGTACTTTACTCCTCCCACAGAAAATGAAAGGAATAAGTTATTAGTTGAAGAACATTTGAAAGGTCATTTTGGTGTAGAAGCTATACTACATGCCTTAAAGAGAAAATATATCTATTGGACCAGCTTGAAGAGTCAAGCAAATGATCTTATACAATCATGTATACAGTGTCAACGTCATAATATCATAAGAAAAGGTTATAATCCTTTAAGACCTGTGACTGCAACACTTCCTGGTGACAGTTGGGGAATAGATCTGGCTGGGCTATTTACAATGTTGACTAGAGGAAATGAGTACTTGTTAGTGATGATAGACATCGCAAGCAAATTTTATGTATTGCGTGCCATACCTGATAAAAGGGCAGCTATGATTGCGTTACAAATACTGGACGTCATTAGTACATGGGGTCCAATGAGAAAGTTGCAGAGTGATTGTGGACAGGAGTTTGTGAACTTGCTGATGACATGTATGAAAGAGAATGTTGTGTGGTGATCCAGACACTCGGATGTTGGATTTATCACATATAAGAACATATTCATATTGGGATAGCGTAGTAGCTATCATCTTGTCAGTATAAAATTTATATAAATGATTAAGTAATCAGGCCAATAATTATTACAGTTAGTACTGTAGATAATATCTTAAAGATTGTTAAGATAATTATATCATACTGCCGGGTAAACTGTGTCAGATCGATATGGAGCTAATTTAGTAGGAAGTCCTAAAGCTCTAGTATAAAAGAGAAAAGAATAGCTAAGAGCTAAAGAAGTACGATTTATGACTTGATGTCATAATTGTAACACCAACACTAGTCAAGCAGTAAATACACTCTAATAACCAAATATAGTAAAGGAAGAAAGCCTTAAGAAACTAAGACGTAATGACAAGAGCAGATTGTGTTTTCTTATAAAAAGAGACACTTTTTATTTATGAATAAAGGATAACTTATATACAGTCTCAAAGTATTTCTATATGTCTCTATTATCAAATATTTTATTTTTCTATTGTTTCATACCTGAAATACCACACGTCTTAGTTTCTTAAGGCTTTCTTTCTTTACTATATTTGGTTATTAGAGTGTATTTACTGCTTAACTAGTGTCGGTATTACAATTATGACATCAAGTCATAAATCATACTTCTTTAGCTTGTAGCTATTCTTTTCTCTTTTATACTAGAGCTTTAGGACTTCCTACTAATTTAGCTTCATATTGCTCTGACATAGTTTACTTGGCAGTATGATATAATTATCTTAACAATCTTTAAGATATTATCTACAGTACTAACTATAATAATTATTGGTCTGATTACTTAATCATTTATATATATTTTATACTGATAAGATGATAGCTACTATGCTATCTCAATGTGAATATATTCTTATATGTGATAAATCCAACATCTGATTGTCTGGATCACCACATGGGCATCATATTTTGCACACAAATACTTGCTGTGAGAAACAACCCAAATGTTATTCACTTCTATACCTTCTTTCTTAACTGTTCTTCCATTTAAGCGTCTTTGATATAAAGAATACCCAGTCTCATCCTCAACTGTTTCTGTTTGTTCTTTCTTTGGATAATACTTTTCACAATTACCATTCTTCATGCACCGTGCTGTCTCGTTTAGCTCACTGCATGGATCATGGATCATATTTCTGCTGACTGTAGCATATGCAAGAGATTCAGTAATTGGATCAGGTATTTTGGCTGATACTATATGATCATAGTCTTGAACTGTTGTTAGCTTATCTTCTGGACGCAGAATTAATAATATGTGAGCATGCGAGAGTCCCCGCTTCTGAAATTTGATCACATAAATGAATGCCAGCACTTTCCCAAGTATATGTCTCTTGGTCAAATCCTTCATAAGCTCCTTTAGTTTCAAGTTAAAAACTCGAGAGCAAATATCTGGCCTGTCATTAGCTTTTTGTTTACCCAGAAGAGAAGAAGTAATCTCTGACCATCATGGGTTGCAAGTAAATGTAATGAACAAATCAGGCTTGCCAAAGTGATGAACAATACTCATTGCATCCTGGTATAACTCACGCATGTGTTGTGGACTGCCAATAAATGAGGAAGGAAGAATTACTCTCTTTTCAAGATTTGCCACGTTTGTATTGTCAAGGGTAATTGCATCCTGGATGCCACTATACAGATCTACACAAAGGTGAGCTTGATTTTTGTTGATGTAGTGTAGATGGTTATGTTCAACTTTGGCATACATATCAACAATAAATTGCTGAAAGAGGCGGCCAAGGAGGTGGAGATGATGTTGAGATAATTGACGGTACGTCAAACGACTGGAATATCACTGCATCACTGTTACATGCTTTCCTGAAAGAGAGGTAGATTTTATGGTCCAGCCATCTTCACTGTATGGAAAAAGCAAAACATAGTGAAGAGCATCATAGGATCAATGGTATTCATTTATGTTTTGGAGAGTATTATTAATAGTATGCAGAACAATGTCTCGAGAAGAGGCTGTTTCATTGCTCATTATTAATACAGCAACTTCATCAGCAGTTGGAGCATTGTAGCGTCTCTGATCCTGGGGACCCTCTGCAATTAAACGCAATGTCAAGTCTGTCATATAGCCATTATGGCTAGAAATTTGATTCATTGATCTGAACAAAGACATGAATGAATTGATATTCAAAAGAATAGACTGTATCTTTTCAATAATTTCTCTGTTTAAATATGGAGCATTGCATTGATGGTGTTGAACTTGAGTTTGAGAATCATATATATATAAATGGGCATATTTAGAATGAGCAAGATCTTGATCACTTGTTGGGGAAATGGATCCCATCCTATGGCAAACAGTTCTGTGGATTCTGAAATTATAGGCTCCTCCTATATTGTTGGCAACCAAATTGTCGATTTTTGCTCCCAAAGAAGTAAAACGCAAAGTACTGTTGTAGCTTCTAATTTTTTCATAGAAATGACTGGTGTTTCATCTTCTATGTGCCAAGAGTTCAGTGAATTAAGGTGGCGTTAGTTCCAAAGGAGGAAGGACAAACTTTCCATAACCACAGCACATAGAAAATTTAATGTTCTCAAGTACTGAACTACCAATTTTCTCGTTCATCCACATCAAGGCTCCACAGTGTTGACATTCTACATCCATTTGCCCTTGATTGTCAACAGCTGGTTTGGTATACACAGATAGACAAGCAATTTTGTGGGTGCTTAGACCATTAATTCTTGATCTGTGGCCAAGTCTGTACCTCAGGTTGTTGGGTCACTGTAAGCTGTTACCTCATTGATGATCAGTTCCAGAACAGCTGGGACATTGACGGGAAATAGTGCTCACACCCACTGGCACAACGACCTCTTCTTCTTCTTTTTCTTCTTCTTCAATTTCTTCATCCAATTCAAATTCTTCAATGTCTTTGTCTTCAAAGATAATACCCTCAGAGGTAATATTAACAGGAGAAGCTACTGATTCTGTGATCAATACAGGCTCTTCCTCGATTCTCATTCTCAAAGCAGCAGCTAAATATGTCAGTGTTACAAAAGTTAAAATCTATGTTATTGCTTAATTGTAATAGTTTAGTATTACATCTACTGCTCTCTGCAGAATATTCTTCAATAAATATAAACTCATTTGTTCTTTTTTGAGGAACATTAAGAGTATTTTTCTTTTTGTTCATTGGACAAAGTGAGCTGGAACTACGGCTATGGCCAACCAACTTACATGAAGCACAACATTTCTCAGCAGAAAGCATATTTTTAATTTTAGTTTTTTTAAAGTTATGTTTCAATAAAATTCTTAAAAGATGAAGAAGAGGTTTTTTAGAGAAAATAACATTTATTATAATAAGGAGTTATCACAGAGTTTTTAGTGGGGTTACAGACTCAGACGACAAGCCAACCAGTGACTTGTTTAAAATAAAAAATCATTATAACACCAAATTTTATAGGTAATTTTCACCAAAAAAATATGCTGCTCATTACAAAAAAATGATCAAAATAAAATATTTCTTTACATACAAGAGATTCTTTCAAATTCTTATAAATATATATATATATATATGAACGTGAGTAGAAGCTTTAAAAGTATCTATATTTCTCTTATATTTATCAAAAAGCTGATATTGAATTGGATAAAGTATTATTCTTTAAGTATATGTTTAATTACATATAGCTGTTTGATCTAATAAAGTAGAATATAGCAAGGATGGTACCAGAAAATAATGGGAAGCTATTAAATTACTTAATAGCAGCATTAACTGAATATCATAAAAAGAAACAAGATATATTTTTTTTTATTTTTACAATCATTGAAAGATTTGGCTTGAATTTTTAGACAAAAAGTCCAGAGTTCTTTGTCTTCTTCTTCGGTTTTCTTCTGCAAGTTTGACTGCTGTTTCTTCACTTACGGAATTGTCAACCATACATTCCTTAATACAATTGACAATTCTTTTACGTCTATTGAAGAACTGTCAATCATTGTTTCTCCAAGCAACGCTGTACCTCGTCTTCATCTCGTGTACAGAGACATAGCCAGAGAGTCCTACATGTCATTCTCTCCACAAGTCAGGCACCATCTGCACACCTCTGCTCATTATATACCGAACAGGTATGTCTGGCAGCTGGGAAATTGTTCCAGAGTTGTTGGCCAGGACTGGAAATGCTTGGACCTCTGTTGATCTAGCTCCACCTCTTTCCCCTCCATCTTCTTGAAGGGACCGAAGAGGGATTCTCCCAGATACTAAGTTGTTAATCTTCTGGTGAAGAACACCAAACTCTTACAGAACTTCTCTGCAAAACCTGCTGTCCACATTCTGCATGTCAGCCAACTTTCTGGTTATCAGAGGAAGTGCTCTCTGCAAAAGGATATCAGTAGGCTTGACATCTGTCTCCACACAAGGCTCGACTGATCTAAAACATTGATATATAAATATATTAGAGCTATTTTTTTTCACTATATTATATATTAGTTTTTTTTTACCTCTTGAACTCGATGTATTCAGGATCATGGAATACACCGTGCTGCCACAATGGGTGCCCTGGAGTTTTGCTCATCATTAACACAGAATCCTGTAGAAAAGTGATTCTTAATTGCTTCAGAAGCTCCAGAAACGCATGTGCAGCTGCGGTTTGCTGGCATGCTTCTGACGAAACCCTGCCATACCAAAAGTCTACCATTGGGAAAACCTTGCACTGGAGCAACTTGGCGAGTAGAACTGCCTCTCAGCTGACGGAAATCCAGCCATAGTACGCATCGCACCTTTCGGAAGATTGGTGAGGTATGCATCATTCATTATGCTGCTATTCCAGCAACCCTGCCTTCTGATATACGACTCGCTGGCACCACTCATATCAGCCATTCTTGCTGATGATCCATGGGCAGCATCGATCTTTGCTGTGGAAACGATTCTACAGGTCTTGAATGCCCTGTTGATTGCTTCGAGATGGGGGGAGTAAGGCATTTCCCTGGTTGGTTCCTGCCCAAATCATAGCAACTTATGGTTGAACCATTCCTTGGATGTTTCAAAAGTTGGAAACTGCTCACCATCAATATGCCATCTCCAGAAGAAATAGCATCTGAGTGCCATGAATGGACAAATCTCAACCTTGGAATTTCTCAAGCAGGCTGCAAGCTCAATTCGTCCGAACTGGTTTGTCTTTCCCTGCTTCAAGACCAAGACAAAGGCAGGGCATTCGAAAGGTCCTTCACGATCCAACATGACTGTCTGAAGGTTGGCAAATTCGGCTTTTCTTGCAGATTTGCCATGGAGTATACAAAAATGCGACAGGAGAAAAGACACCACATTTCTCAGGTCATCTCTGCTTGATCTCGAGAAATAATAGCTAACAATGCTAGCAATCTCGTTCTCTGTGGTGTATCCATCCACCAGAGTTCCAAGGCCATGGTCCTGGTTTTCAGCACAATGGATATGCTCATCGTTGAACTTCATGTTGTTCAACAGCTGGATACAAGCCTTGCGAGGGTGAGGGTGGTTGTTCACACCAACTTTAACTTGCTTCTGGTACATATCCACAAAAGCAGCAAGATAGGTCATTGCAGTTCCATACTTGATGGTTTATCCAGTGTCTCTTCTGTGGGTTCGGTTGATAACCTAACAGAAGAAAAGATAATTAATTCAATTACTTACAGAATATATCTCCAAACAACAGCAAAAAACTTACACAGTCTTTAAGAAACAAATGAAGTTTATCTCCATATACAGTGTAGCAATTTTCGAGGGGAATGCTTGAGAAAGCTTCATCACACCAATCTTTATACTCTTTTTGCTTAGAAGCATAGCTTCTCTTTGTGTTCTCTGGTCTGTTAACTTCAGCTTTGCGAGAAGTAGACACCTGGGCCTCCATCATTCTAACATTCACATCAGAAGTTGCAGTGGAATAGCTAGGAGCGTTTGGGTTCATTTTGAGTAGATATTAAAAGATCTGGGAAGATGAAAAGGTAGCACTTTTACATGCTACTTATATTAATGTCTTGCCAGAAAATTCATTGTAATTTATTATGCTTAATAGTAGATGACTAAAAGAAATTCTGACATTAGGATATTGCTGTACTTATATATGAGAAACAAGACAAGTACTTAATAAAAGAAATCTGCTTCTTCATCAATACGTTAAAGAACATATATAAAAATATAATGATAATTTTTTAGATGTGTGTAAAAAAACCAAATTTTTAATAAAGTTTTATTAGGCTGCATATAACTTATGGAAAAAAAATAATCGTGGTGACCTTCATTGAAAAGAAATAATTATTTTGGGTGGGAACCTAAGATATTGACCATTATTCCAGCATCATTCATTAAAAATGAACGTCTAGAGAAATCTTTAGAAATTCTTACCCCTTGATAATAATTTTTATCATGTTCATTTTCAGAAAATAATTAGGTACACTTTTTTAATCTGGGAAAAAAAGACATCTTCATTATTAACTGAATAGAATATATGTGTATGAGAGAGGAAGGGGGAAGCGTGTTTTTTTTTTGTATTTCAAAGGCAGAGTATAGTCAGTAAGTCATGTGATTTAGAAAAGGCAAGAATTTTAAGATGGTGAAAGTGGTAGTTGCTAAATCGTATGATTTAGAAAAGGCAAGAATTTTAAGATGGTGAAAAGTGGTAGTTGCTAAGTCACGTGATTTATAGAAGGCAAGAATTTTAAGATAGTGAAAAGTGGTAGTTGCTAAGTCATGTGATTTAGAAAAGGTAAGGATTTTAAGATGGTTGTAAGTTCCAAATTGGGAATAAGTAAATCACGTGATTTTTAGTTACTAAGGATTTTAAAGATATAGATGACATGGCGTCTTCTGGCAAAAAAAGTGTCATCTTGGCTATGCCATCCCAGTTGAAGTCTCTTCAACTCAACCACAGACTTTGCACTGTTCAGGCCAAAATACCACTCTCTCCAAAGATTGGGAATTGTTTTCACTCCTCTACTCATGCGATATCATAGAGAAGATGATGCTGTTGTTTGTTGTTGATGTTGTTGTGACTGTGTTGGCTGTAGTGATGTGTTTGTAAATTGTATAGCCTGTACACTTCTAGATCCTCCAGTGTTAGCCTCAGAGTTCATTTTAAATATTAGCATCTGAAAGTCTGGCCCACCTGAGACTGACAGGTTTATACTTAATGGAGCACAAACAGAAGTGATATTCCTTGAGTCAGTGAAAAGTTGCTGCATAGTTTCTTTCAGCTCACTCGACTCTGACTGTATCTGGGCCTGTATAGTCTTGAGGGATCAGTGGAGCATTGGGGCAGTAGTACAAAGTCGTAGAGTTGTATAATTGTCTTCTCTGACTTCAACAATATGGGCTTTAAGATCCCTAATTTATGCAAAAATAAAGGATATTAGATAATGCTGATAGGTTTATTACGTCTACTAAAAAAATATTATTTTTCTTACCTTTCAAACTGAATGTACAAAGGGTCCTCAAAAAGAACGTGCTGCCATATTGGGTGGGTAGGGCGGCAAAGGCGCATCAAGACCGAGTCTTAAAGAAAGACTTTTCTTAAAATAAGCATAAGCTTCAAGAAGCAGTCGGCAGAGTTGGTGTCTTGAGCCTTGTTTGTGTTAATCTTATTGAGCCAAAACTTGACCTGGGGGAAAACCTTCTTCAACAACTCAACAGGTGGCTCCTTCATAGCTCTTGGCAAGAAGAAGTGCCCTGCACTTTCCGGAAAGCCAGCCATCTTTCGCATTACCTCACACGGTAAACCAGTCAGATAAGCACCATTCATTGTTGAGTTGTTCCATCAGTCTAAACGTCAAATCTGGGTCTCATCAACAATATCTAAATCGGTCATTCTGGCACCAGCACCTCTAGCAATGTAGATCACTTTGGACAAGCAGATCTTGCAGAAATCAAGCCCTTTCTTGAAAGCCTTATTATGAGCAGAGTATCTCCACTCTTTGGTTCGATTGGTTTCTGACTTAAGAACCTTGATATCAAATCAGTCCTTTGACTTGGTAAATACATGGAATGGCTTGTTTTTTACATGGAAGCATTGGAAGAAGTATGTAGCAAGCATCATGACTGGGCAGATCTCAACGAGCTTGTTACAGAGACAGCCGCTCATTTCCAATTGGCCATGCTGGTTTGTTTCTCCTTGTTGCATAATAGAAACAAGCGCAGGACAAGGAGAAGGACCTTCACTCTGAAGATCTACAGTTTACAAATCTAGTAGCTCAGCCATTCATGCTGACTGTCCATGCAAAAAGAGAAAGTGAGACAGCAGAAAGGAAAGGCTGTTTCTCAAGTCTGTTCCAGTCTTTTTACTGAAGTAGTAGTCAACAAGCATGGTCATTTCTTGGGTGATGATATATCCATTGTTGAAAGATAGCTTTCCACAATCAATATATTCAGATTTGTGTTTATGCTCTTCATTGTTTTTGGCTGCCTGGATGAGACCAACACATTTGGGGCAAGGATGGGGGTTGCTGTTAATATCTTTCATATATTATTGAGTCCAAAGATCAGTAATAGCGGCCAAGTAAAGCTCCAAGATTAAGCTGCTAATGGTTCTTGCTGTTGTCTCGCCTTTTCTGATATACTTGCTTTTGTGGGAATTGACCTTTTGTTTTGTTTAAAAAACAAAAAAGTTAATTAGCTTATCCAAAACGATGGGTAATTGTATTTTTGTGACCTACGCTTTCATGCAAAAATAAATGAAGTTTGGATCCATTTACAGTGTATCTGCCCTCATCACTAGCATCAAACTTTTCATCGCACCAGACACAATACTCATTCTGCTTGGACTCATAAGTCTTCTTGGTGTTCTCTGGTCTTGACTCCTGAACATTTTGGATAGTCTGAGCTTGAGCAGCTTTCATCTATACATTGACAACAGGATTTCCAGAAGGATAAAATCTGGGAAATTGAGTGTTCATTTTTTTAAAATCGAAGTAGAAATAATAGTAAAATGAGATAGAACCATTGTTGCCTATAATTTCTGGAGTATATATACCTTTTTCAAAGTGAATATTGGTAAAAATAAATCAAAGTGTTAGTCATATACTGCCAAGAAGCAACGTCTTTCGTTATCATGTTGAACCAATCCTTGTAAAAGAAGACCACACAAATAAAAACGCTTTCTGTTTGTGTAGCAGTGTAAACCAATAATATGATCTCTTTTATTTTGTATATAGAAATAGCACTTTTACTATTTATATACTTCTTCATTTTATTCAAAAAACCATAATGTTTAACCATATATTTTGCTGTAATAACAGTAAGTTAAAGCAAAAACATTACAAGAAAGTGTTTACGCATATAAAACCTTTGCTATTTCTCATAAAAGAGCAATATGTGTAAAATAATAGTGGCAGAAGCAATGCCAAAAAAGGTATTCTTCTAAGTCAATGAAAATTGTTTATATTCATTTTTATTTATATCTCTCAGAAATGAATTTTATTGCTGTCTTAGTGCAATTTCTCTGCTTGTACTCTGATATAACGTTATTATTAAAGTATAACACTTTAACTTATAAAAATAAAACAGACCAAGAGAGAATGACTTAGCCTTTTTTTAAATATTTCTGTGAGATGTGATATGGGTATTAAAAGCCAGTAGACCAATGAAAATTTTTTAAATCGATTTTGAATAAATGTGGGATTACATTCTTTACATTGTTTCTTACTCTACTTTACTGACAAGAGTTTGTTTATTATGTGCGTTTACATCTAGTAATTATCTTTATGAAAAATATATCTGCATACTCTTGTTTTTGAGGTATGTATAATATAAGAGCAGTACTTTACTATGTGATGTAGTTATTCATCTCAGACCTCATTTGTTAACAATTAGCTTTTTCATCATCTGGTAAAAATGAGCTAAGAGGTAATAACTGCATGTCTAGTTTATAAAGTAACTGAATACTAATAATTATTTATTCATTTCCACTTGTAGAGATTCAAATTTTTATGAAATATGTCTTGGTAAAGTCAAAGATAAGCTTCTATTTAACTTATTTTTTTAAGCTTGAAATACTCATTACATTTATATTGTATTAGATTGTTTTTGTATTCAAGAATCATGAGTGATATGAATTTTCTGCCTTTTCATTTAGCTTAGAATAACTAGATTCAACTTACTGTATATTTCTGCCTATAAGTTATATAAAATAACTTGACATTTTTTCTACTTTGAAATAAAAAATAAAAATCATTTATTTGAAACAGAATTTATTTTGAATTATTTTCAATATTTTGGAAAATACATTTTCAAATCTGTGATTTATTTCGATCAGAAACTATTGCAAAAAATTGTTCATACATATATGATAAAGAAATGAATATGTCTGCTCTGACACCCTTTTTGAAATAGGATTACACAAGAAATTTCTCTGGTGGTAAAGGTATGAAAACAAAAAAAAAGAAAACAAATAAAAATAAAATAAGAATATAAGATGCAATGAAGAATAAGACATAAAAATTTTGGGATAAGTAATGTGCTGGATCGGATATCAGACATAGGAATGAACTTCAGTAGTTAGAAAAATTAGGAGAGGTTCTCAATGATACAGAGACAATCCATTTTGGAAACAGAATATACAACAGGATCAATATCTTGGGATTAAGCACTTGCAGAACTTCATAATGATCTGGGAAGAGATTGACAGCTGACAGTTAACATTTGAGATATAAGAAACGGGAATGGATTACCAAGAACTGGATCTTTCATATGTTGTTATTGGAGAGAAGGTCATTTGGATTGATATTTTTTTGTCATGCTTAATAGAATTCCATCTGGCCTAGGCTCAGGATCAAAAACGGTTGTTGAAGTAGATTGATCAATGGTTCTCAGCAATGCAAGCAAGCAAGGCCACCAATCAATCCACGAACCAAGACTTTTGAAGGACCTGGGGAGAAGGTTAAGAGCATGGTCAATCAGATGGGTATTCAGAGGAATCTCTAAACCAAGTAGCAATTGTAACGTTTCTGCCATCACTTGAGTTGTTGGGCACGCCAACTTATGCGCCAAATTATTTTTGAGGCTTCCACACCTTACATGCAAGGCTTCTTGGTTTAGTGGTATAATTCTCGCTTAGGGTGCGAGAGGTCCCGGGTTCGATTCCCGGAGAAGCCCTTGTTTTAAACATATTTTTTGTGTCTGATGTTGTTGTGGCCAAATTCTTGTCAGCCAATTAGTGTCGGACATTATTTTGATGAATCCGTAAAATCTGAAGATAGTTAACCGCAGTATAATGACTATTTCTTTAAATTAAATATAAATAATAACTACTGCGGATAATGCGCAGTATTAGTTTAGAAAACTATATAAGACAATTCAATTCATATCAATAAAAAGTATCTTTGATCCTCTCTTTGATTTTACGTATACTCCTTGATCCCCAGTGGGTTTGACCTTTTGACTTTGTTATAGTAAAAGGAAGACCAACCCAGATCGGGAACAACATTAGGATGATGATTACACAGAATTCTCTTTTGAGAACGACAACCGCAGTGGTTTCCTTTTGCTCACAAAAGAATTAGAAAGCACATAGCTTAACAAAAGTAGAATAAAACCAAAACAGACATTTATAATGACTGAGTAGGTTTAGAAAAGATATAAAAGAGGACATTATTTCATTCAATAAAAGTTATCTATCTTTCTATCCTCTTTTTATTCTTTTATCTTCGTTTACAATTCCCAGTAGATTTGACCAATTTTGGCTATGCTATAGTATCGTTTTCGATCTGGGGTGTTCTTC